TATTATTCAAATTACATTACGATACTTAAACATTTTTAATATTATCTCCAATTAAACCTGACATTAAAATATTACAAACAATCAAATATATTTGTTATATAAAATAGTTTATGAACAAAAAAAAAATAAATAAAAAAATAATAATAGATTAAACCACAACCAAAAATAAAAGAGTTATTAAATAGATTATAAAAACAACAATAAAACACTACCATAATAATAATAACAACCAGAAATTAACCAATAGTATTAATTGAAGAGAAGTTTCCTTCATTACCGACGATTATCTCGTTCTAGATGAGTAAATAGAATTTAGTATAAATTAGTCACTGTATATAGATATATATAAATAGAAAATCAAACGAATTATTAATGTGTAAGTGTATATTAAATCAAATCAAATCAAAGCGGAAAAAAAAAATAATATATATAAAAATATGATAATAAAATATGGCATAAACAGAAATTCAAAATGCATAGCAGCATTTAATTGTTGTCACACTATGTGTAAATTGAAAATCAAACTTTTGCGATAGTAGTAGTATTTTTTTTTTTTTGTCTATCTTTCTTTCAATATTTGTTAAAATAGTTAAAACGTTATAATTAATTTATTATTCGTCTCTTACCAATTTTTTGTCGATTGCTGAAACAAATTTCCAATAGAATGAAAACAGCTGATCCACAAATGAATATTATTATCATTGTAACTTCATAACCATCGTAACCAAAAAGCTTGAATGGACCTGGAGGTTCAGGAAGTGGTTTTGGAACTGGACAACTATCTTCACAATCGACACAACTACATGCTGGTGTTTTGGCCTAATAAACAAACACACATATCACAAGTTAATTAATTAAATAATACTAGCAAGATATATTTTCATATGATTTATATTACAAAACTAATATTTGACTTACGTTTAATGGTTTGCTACAAGGGGTAACTTGTGGATCCATTGGTTTGAACGGACCAATAGGATTATCAGTATTGATGTATGTAATTTGGAAAGGAACGTAAAGATTGTTTGCAGCATCACCCATATTGTGGAACCACTTTTGTGGAGAACAACGACTTGAACCCCATTCTCCACACATGATATCCAAAGCAAGTTGACCTGTGCTTGGAACTGATACCTTGTTACAAGATTTATAAGTTCCATCTAGATACTTGTTAGTTATATATACATCTATTTGATTTACATATTCAATACCTGAAAATTGTACAAAATAATAAATATTACAAACAACAATAAATCCTCAATTATTTGTTTTCAAATAATAAAATAATGAAATCAAAAATCTCTAATTACCCTTTTCATCTTTTAATATTTCTGTGACATTTATAAAACTACTTTGATGAGGGCTGCATGTAAATTCGCAAAAATGTTTAGATAAATTATCCAAACAGCTAGGACAACGTTTCAAAAAGTTTGCTGCCAATTTAATATTTTGCTTTAACGTTTCCAATTGTTTAACATCGCAACAAGTATTAGTCGGTTTGTTTAAATCTGTTATTAAATGTGGACATTGTTCTGCAAGTAATTTTTGTCCTTCTTCATCTAATGGTAAAGCAGGACCAGTATAATGGCAGTTCTTGATATGTGTTGATGCATCTTTGTAACATTGTCCATGCCAGATACAATGATCGGTATCTGCACTGTTTACCTGTATATATATATAAATACAAATTATATTACAATTTTATATATTAGATAAAAAGTATGACATTTTAAATGTTATTTCTATTGAAAATAATAAAAAAAAAAAGGATAAATTCTTTTATAATAACTCATTGACAAAAAAAAAATATTCAATTATTAAACGAAAGAAAAAAAGGTCGTAAGTACATCTAATAATATAATCCAAACATGTTCAATTACTTCAAGAGTTATTATAGTGATCATCAATTGAGAATGTCTCTCACGAGTAAAATATCTTTCATATTAAACCTTTGGCCAATGATCTCTGCTCATAGGTCGAGGTCAGAACAATATGAGTAACAAATTATAACATGCTAATTTCTTATTAATATAATATTCATTTTGCACATACATATTATCGTGTATTATGTTTAATATTAATTTATATTACATCTTAAAGAAAGAATTTCAAAACAAAAAGAATAGTAAACAATATGAAATACTAAAAGCTATCATTTTGACGTGGTAATTTTCTTTATGCGCACAAAAAAAAAAAAAAAAGAAAAGAGAATATAAGGAATATTTGAAATTGCATGTTACAAAAAAGAAATATGATTTCCTGAATAAAATACTAACATAAGTTAATTCTAGATAAAGAACATTCCTTTCTCACTAGTGTCATATTTACTGGTATATATCATTTTTAATTATATATTATCAATATCCTTAGTCATCATTGATGTACTATTAAGGAATTTAATCATATCAAACATTATTATTATATTACAAATGAATAATCAAATTACATTTGAAACGTAATAAAGGATCAAACTTGAAATGTATATATTCTATCAAGTGTAAACAATTTTCGGATAGAAAACATATCGCGTCAGAGTTTATTCTGGACGACGACGACGACGATGAATGCACGTTAAAACCTTCAAACTATTTTGCAACTCATTCTTTAGACCCATTTTGTTGACTTTGCAATAGTAAAACATAAAAGATTAAATTCTTCTAATGAACATGATTACGTATGCTAATTAACACACAAGTATTAAAAGAAAAATAACTAAAGGAAAAAAATTAATAAAAAATAGATAATTAAGAATAATTTCTTTATATATATGAATTAATAAATAGATGTAATCATAATGGAGAAATGACGAAGTTGGATTTATTCGATTGTATTTAATAGGAGGCCACATTAAGCTTTGACCTCGGCTTAATAAAAGTTCCGACGCCTTACTAGACGTTCCTCTTCTTCTTATTCTTAAAGGGGACATGAAGAAAAAGAAGAAGAAGAAAACATGGCATAATTAAATCAAATAAAAGGCTCTTCTTCGTTAACGATCGAAAGTTGTCGATAGGCTTTCTCGGACATCGACTGAGATGACGTCACACTAAACGCACACACCAGCCGACGAGAACTCTGATTGGGTGTGGTATATACATCGTATACAATACATAAAATGAATTATCTCATACATATATACACACACATGTAGGCTTCATGACATATATGCATGCACATATATATATATTATTTATACATTTGGTGTGGCCTTAAACGCGACATGAAATAATATTTCGAATTACTTACAACGCACGCAATCCAGGACAAGGATATTAGAATAAAAAAGGTTGAGCCAAGTGACATCGTCGAAGACGCCGAAGGTCTGCCTGTCAAACGCCAACTACGACCTCGAACTTTTTCACAAGAAGTCCGATACATCGTCATAATTTTAATTTCTTTTATCAAATTTATTAATTGTTGATGTTGATTGACCCCCCACTAAAAAAAAAAAAAACAACACGCTATGCGTTTTTACAAACGCGATGTTTTTCACCCCTTCTTCTTCGTCCTCTTCTATTGACACTGTAATTCGCACGATGTTATATGCGTTGCCATAAGTTTTATTATTTCCGCACTGCACGACCGTTTCTCCTCGACTGATCACTCCTCTCGAAATACTCTTTCGATATTACTAATAGTCGATATTCAACTTGTCATGCCAGTCGAGATTCTTCAATTGAAATATTACTACTCCCTACTCGCTTCTATGACGCATGAAGTCTGTCTCAGACGAGATCGGTCAGCTTCGAGTAACTTCGATTTACTTCGGTGGTACTCATCGGTCATTGGTCGTTACTCCAATGGAAATATACGCGCGATTTTTTTGCGAATTTAAAAGTCAAATTATGTTCGATCCGATTATACGACAATCCCTGACTTTAAATTTATGGTAATTCTTGATCAAAACAATCCAAATAATTCTGAAAACATCAAAGATTAATGCTTGATATTTTTAATATTATTAGAATTATTGTAAAAATTCTTAAATTATATACGCGTATTAAGAGATCAAATTTGAATATATGATTAAACCTTATGTAAGTAGATTTGTTTCATCGTTTCCTTTAATAATCTAATGATTATTAATTATATGATTATAAATTGCTCAGTATTTAAGATTATATAACCTAATAATAGATTATTTCTTGAATATCTTCAGAAGTTTTTATATCTCGGCTATAATGAACATATAAATTCTTTTATTCATCCTTCTACTTCATTTGTCTCTGGAACAGAAAATGGACGACTTATTATACAATTACGTTTATACAAACAATTTTTTGCAAATTCAATAAAAAATAGTTTAATAGCGAATAATTATTATGTTCTACAAGATATCACAAAATGGAAAGATGCAATTCAAGATCCGTGTTACATGTGCTAACAGAATAATCTTTAATTCAAAAGACTATTTATAATAATCAAGAGGGAGATTTGACAAAAGAACGAATTTTATTTTCTTTTATTTTATTTTTATGTACCTTTATCTATACACAAAAGAGTTGACCTGAGTTTTTTTTTGTTCATTATAATTGATGATAATCAGCAACACCAACTTCAAAAAAACACTAAAAAAAAATTTATAATTTCCTAATTATCTATGAGAAAAATCCTGTCAAAAAAACCACAAATATGTTTTAATTTTATCAATGACATTAATTTAGATAAATTAGTAATTTGTATAGATAAAATACATTAACAGAGATCACACACACACAAGGAAAAAAAAAGTTGATATTTTAATTTTGTGATATCAGTTGCTATCTACTTTTATCAGTTGTTATACTATACCCATGTTAAATTATTGCATTTTTTAGTAATGGTTGAATAGTTAACAAGTTATTAAATGTCTTGAAATAAAACAAAATATAACAGGTAAGATTTTTGTCTATAAATTCAATAAATTCTAATAATTAGTGTAAAGAGATCAATTTTGTTTAGATCTAGTAACTATATTAATTTTTAGTAATTTAAGTTGGCTATCATTAAATCATATCGATTGAGCTGTCATCTGGCGACCAATAGAAAAACTTAAAAAGTAATAAAGAATAATGTCATATGACAACATCCAAAAATTCATCGAAAAACTAGTTTAATCTTTTAATCCTTTTTACGTATAAGAAAAATTATGGCAACTGTTACGTTACGAATCTTATCAAGAAATCTACAGTTATCAATTCTAGTGAGTATTTTATTTCTAACAAAAAATAAGATTTATCACGTGTTATTCCAATGACAAGATGATTTCATTGATATTACGAATAAAAGCGCTACACTCGATTTTTTTTTTAGAAACATTCAATTATCTTCGATGATAAGAAATGAAATCTGCTCGGTTGGTAATGTTCTACTTTATCGACATTTTCGATTATTTTCAATCTTTGTATTTTTTTTTTTTTTTTTTTCAATTCAAAAAAGCATTATTTCGTGTATTATAACAATTAAACAAATTGAATTATTCTATAAATATATAAAATGCATATTTAATTATTATATAATTAAAAAAAAAAATGTGTCTTCTTTTTTTTTTTTTATGATAAAGTCCGCAAATTTTCAACGGAGTTTAAATACAATTGATGAGATAAAACTGAAGCCGGAACAAGTTTTATCTGAACAAAATCGAAAATCAAGCATAGAAAAATTTAAAAAATTTCAACTAAACGTCAAATACAAAGATGAAACAAATCAAGCGGCAGTTCTAGTACCAATTTGCATTCATAAAGGGGAACTCGGTCTTCTGTACACCTTGAGATCATCAAAATTGAATTCAAATCGAGGACAAGTATCTTTCCCAGGTGGAATGTACGACAAAACTGATCGTGACCTAGAAGAGACCGCGTTAAGAGAAACTTGGGAAGAGTTAAAAATACCGAAAGAAAAGATCGACATATGGGCATCATGCAATTTGTTTCCAGCTAAGAATCTAACAGTAATGCCAGTATTGGGCTACGTGGGTGAAATTGATCCAGCAAATTTAGAAATAAATCCAGACGAAGTTGAAGAAGCCTTTGTCATATACCTGAAAGATTTTTGTAATCCATCTTTATGTCGTTTTACACACTTTCGCAATGTCTCCATGTTACCTACTTATCTCGGTGGTAAACATCGTGTTTGGGGTCTCACTGCTGCTATCACTCACGTAGTTTTATCTTCCTTGCTACCTGGAATTTATAGGCATGATGTTAATGTTAGATTTATGATTCCATCGAAATTTAAAGTAACGAATAAAAATAGTATACAATAATTTTGTATAGTTTTCAATTAATATTTATTAAATGTATATTATTATTTAGAAGAAAATTGTATTTTTCTTTTTCTTTTTTTAATCAATTTTATAGACAAATAAATGCTATTTATATATATTTTGAAGTTATTTGATTATTTATTAATATAATTTGAACATTTTAAAATATATTTCAAGATTTATATATACAATTATACGTATACATATAAATATAATGTTTCTTTCAAAGTTTATGTTTAATTATGAATTTTCATTATTAAGCAACATCTTGTTTATCGATTTCAAAAATCATAATAACTACTAAGTGCATATATATATATATATATTTATTTATGAAATTCGTAAGAAACTTACATCTATATCTAAATACCTGTTCATATATATATATATATACATACACGCGCAAAGCGAGGTGAATATATTACAGGTGTGAAAGGAGTTTCACTCGGAGTCTACGTGTGAATGTATATTTAATGGGATAGAAAAAGAAATAAGGATTAGTTGTGGAGTAGGGGGAAAACAGAGAGAGAAAGAAAGAAAGAAAGAAGCAGTAAGTTTATGGGGAAAAAAGAAGAGAGGTAAAATAATGGTTTGTTGAGCTCGATATTCCCTCACGAAAGACAGTCGCAAAATCGCATGCGCGCGGTAGCCACCACAACATGCACCAATTTTAAAAAATTCAATGGTAAGAATAATATAGTGAATAATAATATTCATAAAAAAAAAAATTAAAAACAACAAGGACAAAAAGTTAATAAGAATTTTGCTGTAAAGAATTGAAATGCCGGTGGAATCATCGATATATTGGAACTCGTTCGATTCTCAAAAGATTACTTCCGGTGGAAGTTCGAACAATAATAGTGATCGTCATTACGTTGATCCATGGGATTTAGAAAATTATGCTTATCTTAAAAGATATAGTATTAATGTTCCAACCCAACGTTATCAACAGGAACGACGAACTTCTTATCAATCTGAATATTGGTAAGAAATGAATCATTTATTTCTAAGTTAATTTGAATATCAATTAAACAATGCATTTAATAAAGTAAAAGGAAAAGAATAGAGTCAAATATAAATAAAATTTAAACGAATGTTAATTAATAAAAAAAAAATGACAAATATATATATATATATATATATATAATAAATATTACTAAGCGCGCTCGTGTATATAATTTTGCGTAAAAAAAGACATAAACGTGTTATTTCGTGAGAAATGAAGATCTTCACGCGTCGTTGGTAACAGGGTCACGGAAAAGTTAAACATTTTTGTTCGAATGGAAAATCAGATCGAGTATAAACAATGTATGTTTCTTTTTTTTACAAAATAATTTTGTAACTTTTTATCTAATTAATTAAAAAACAAAAACAAAAAGTGTCTATACTTTGTAAAGTAAATTGCAATACTTGTTGCATAGTAATGAGAACCAAAATAATATAGTTTCTGTCGTGTGAAAATAGGTATAGCCAATCATTAAAAGAAGCACAGTATAGTATACCAAGTTTAACAGAGAAGTTCTACTGTGACCCGTCCTGCAGAATGGAGAACAATGCCTACCATTATCATCGTCATCCCATCTATGAAGATGAAGTTACAAATTGTGTTCCTTCCTATTCCCTCTACACACCTATTTCTGGTAATTTATTCCTCGTTTCTTTTTCTTTTGTTTTTTTTTTTTTCTCTTGTAATTGAATCAAATCTGTAATTAAAAAAATAAACCAATTTCAATATAGGAATAATGTAAGATATACAATAATAGAAATAAATTCATTACAATTGATAATATTACTTGAAAATAATTATATTTGAAGATTGAAATTATTTATACAATAAAAGATAAGAATATATTTTTTTTTTTCTATTATAATTATCTTCAAGTAATATGATTATAAAATGATATTAATAATTAATACATCCCGATATAATCAAGGAGAAATCCATAAATGACTATGATACATAACTCAATTTAAATGCACCTCTGATGCACTCATGCGTTTACGTGTGCACGCATACCATGTATGTCATACAAGAGTATCATGTTGGAAGAAGCTTAGAACATATATATATATATATATAACATACAATTGAAAGCAAACGAATTTCTCTATTTTTCACTTGTAATCAAATTTCCCTTGTTCTATAATAAACCCCGCCTGAAGTTATTGTTCCAAGTATTTTTTTTTTTACAATATCTAATCAAGCAAAAGTTTAATGAACTCGGCCGGAACAAATTGTTAACCAATACAAACAATACTTTATTGTTTCCTCTAACTTTCCAACGTTTATATACTCTTGTTTTACACACACACAGACGTACACATACATACATAATCACTTTTCTTTTTTTTTTATATAATCTGATTGTAAGTTATAATGATACTAATAAAAATTGTAACATCGATTCATTGGTGCATAAGATTGAATATTTTTGTTCTTATTTTTCAGCTTTAGCATCTTGCGAAATGATGGAAAATTATTCGATATCGGATTATGATTACAGATCATTAGATGATAATTCGTACAAATCACGTACAAATACAAATTCGAGATACACACAAAATTATTCTCGTCAGTATATGCCAAACGATAGCGTACGACACCTTGGTATAATTTATTATTATAATTTATAAAGTACTTCTTTTTTGTATGTGTCTTATAAATGTATGTTTTTATTGTAAATTAATATAATTGTTACCATTAACAGAGAAATTGCAGTATAACGTTGAAGAATATTATGCAGGAATGTCTCCGGTGGAAGATAATTATATGACACATATGGTGACACCATTAAATCTTGATTTGAATACATATGGACATCTTAAAATTGATTACACGGACAGTTGGAACTCCCTAAAAAGAAAAATTAGCAAATGAGTTAATTATAATTAATATTTGATGTATTTAATATTTAACAATTAATTAATATCTATAATTTTTTTTTTTTTTTTTATAAATGTTTCTTTTCAACTTTTCTTTTATATATAAATAAAATTTATGAACGTAACAAATAAACATCAAAAATTTAACATATAATGTGTTAATAGATTTTAATATAATTATTAAAAAGTATAATATTTGAATATATCAAAAAATATAATTTATACGTAATTATTAATATTATATGTCAACTATCGCATCTGTATTTTCGCAATAAAGTTTTTTTTTTCTAGTAACTTTTTCCGAACTATATTTATCCATATTATCTTCATTTCCTAAATCATTTAGAATTTGAGATGCTTTCGATACGTTCAATCCAGGCCACCTTAAAATAAATTTCAATTTAAATTTTTATATAAAGTTTTTTTTATCATTTGTTTTATTATATAAATAAAAAATGTACTTGCCTGAAAGTTGGTTGTTTGTCTTTTTTCTTAATTTTCTTAATTTTAACTATTTGTGATTGTTGATTTGAAGTATCGTCCATCCCTGGATGCCTCGCCATTTTATTTTGGTACTGTAAAATTAATATTTTATAAAAATATTATAAATAAATAAATAAAAGAAAAATATTAACATTATTTTTAATTTTGGTATAAAAATAGACTACTTGTTGTCTCGTTTCCAATAATATTTTATATTTTTGTATCTCTTCTGTGTACTTTCTTTCGAGTTCAAACATTTCTTCTTTGTGTCGTTCTTCTTGCAATGCCAAATTAGATTTCAATACTTCTAATTCATCCTGCAATTTACAAACTAAATAAACTCCTTTACTAATTCTATAAATTACAATGAGAAATAATGAACTATTTTTATAGTAAAAGAAATTTTATAAAAAAAAAAAAAAACACAAGAAATAAATAAATAAAGTGCATACTTTGTTCATCTTCAATATTACGATCAACGTAAATGAATCTAAGATGATTGCATTCCTCTCGAGATTCAAACAATGCTTTTTTCAATTCCTCATTTTCTTTTCGTACCTCTTCTAAAGATTTTTTACGTTGTTCTTCTAATAATGTAAATGTCTTAGTCATTTTCTTCATTTCTTCTTCCATTTTGGCAGATTTAACTTTTTCGTATTGCAACAATTCATCTTGAATGTTGCTGAACGTTTTTAACGATAAATAAACCTATAATAATAATGATTTAATCATTAATTTATTCACGAAATATTATAAAAATCGATACAACAATTATTTATTAAACTTACGTTTTTTAATTGAGTAAAATTGTCTAATAACGTCTGTAAATCTGGACGTAAAGTTGTTCGATAGGAAGCCATATTGGAAAAGATTCAAATTTTGAATTGGCGCGATTGTCGTACGACTAGCGAACGTGGCGGCATCAAGGGGCGATCACTGGTACTATATTCAAAAAAATAGCGGGTAATTGTATATTTAAATTTTTCTTCTCTACAAACAAAAATACCAATTTAAAAATAATATTTAATATAATAATTTTGAATTAATTATGCATGAGTATGTTCCTATTTTCAAATACTATGTCGAAACATATATACTCATAGAATACACGAGTTTATATTTGTTATTATATAAAAAGAAAACAAATGAAATATATTTGCATCGATATTGCTTAATCATTTTTTATCTGATTTCTAAATAAAATAATAATAAATAAAATAATGAATTGTAGGCAACGTGTTGGAAAAGATCTCGATGAATCGATTTACGAAGAAATATGTGACATTATATTCGACTTAATACCTCAAGGTATTTATGACTTTTTTGTTTGATTTAAAAAACATAATATTTCTAAATTTAACCTAATTATAATAATATTTTTCTATGTATTATTATAGCACCGCAATTGAAACAGCTCTTTTTAAATTGGAGTGAATTAAACGACAGAGAAAGAACACGATTAGATTTTAAATATCTGTTATGGTGTTGTCCTAAAAGAAGACAACTTTACAAATCATTACGCGAAGCCATGATCCGTTGGGAAAATATACAGGAGACTGAGGGTTATTATTTTGATTTAATTAATTAATTAATTAATTATCCTGTGACAATCGTATTTTTAAAAAATATAAATCAAACCAAACAAAATTAGAAATTGTTCTAAATAAACAGGTGCACCAGGATGTGAACCAAGTACGATACCGTCACGTTATTCTCATTTAGAAGAGGAACTTGGAAATTTGGTTTTTAATATGGAAATTTGTTTGTTAAAAAGATCCGAAAATATTCATGAACGTGTTGTTGATAAACGAACAACAACTGACAGTAATAGTCCTTCTTCAAGTAATATTAATTATAAGAGAAATAGTTTCACGTTATTATCAAATTGTAAAGATTATTGTCATTTCATTACCAATTCGAAAACTAGCTCTTTACGTTCTGTACATAGCTGGTGTTGTTCCGTAGACAGTAAAAGTTCCGAGGACGAGTTAAGTGGTTATTTGACAAATTGATATTCATCAATAATCCTATACATTTGTTTGTTATTGTTTCTATCGTATTATTTTTTTTTTCTTCTTTTTTTTCTTTAGAATAAACGATACATCATCTTGCATTGAACGAACTCTCTTTTTCGATGAGAAAAAGAGACGACGTTAATGACATAAAATATTTTATTATATTATTTTATAGGTTCAAGGTGCACGAACGTACAATTAGATAATATAATTAATCGATTAATCACTATAGCGCAAGTCATATATAATAAAATCGAAGGAATTTGTCATTTTTAATATGTATAATATCATTTTTAAATTATTTCGACATACGAACTTTCATTTTTCTTCCTTTTTTTTTTTTTTTTTCTAAGTTCCTTCGATAATGAAAATTTTGTTAACTAATTTGTTTTGTTTAAAAGTAATCATTGCCATTAATTAGGACAATACTCAATACTTCACATCGTAGCTAATTAAAAACTGCTCAGGAACACAATTTTCTTTCTTTTGTTAACTTTTTTTTTTCTTTTTGTTATTATTATTCTTTGACAATTTGCAAATATCTAAGTTTGTTCATTCTCGGTAAATTTGTGCAAATCAGCGCCGACATCATCGTGGAACTTAAATAATTCATTTAATAATATTCGCACAAGAATTCATCATCATCATCATCATCATCATTATCATCATCATATTCACACGTTTTCTTTTTTTAAAAACACATAACATTCTTCTTCGAAGGAAACATCATTTGACTGACATGAGTGTTTTTTTCAATAAAGTATGATTTTCATACCTAATATATGTAATTTAAAACTTGAAATTGTCATAATTACGGCTTGCTTCTGCTCCGTTCTTGTAATAGTAGTTCACAATTCGCAAAAAGAATTGAATAAATGTTTATATTATAATAATACCATTATACTACATACATCATCTATTGTGTTTTTGTTGTATTATATCTTGCTCATTGAGATATATCGTATTGATGCATCATAGATTATTATTATTAATATTATTATTATTATTATTATTATTATTATTATTATTATAACTAGCGAATGCAGATTTGTTTATTTAAAAACCACAAAATTGAATGCGCTATAACGCGCACCGTTTTATCGGGCTTGCTGCTTTCATTTATTCTTCTTCTTCTTGTTTTGAATTATTTTTTGTAATCCTTTCGCTGTGATACACAAGTTTAAATATATATATGTATATATACTCGTATATTTTATTATTTCATTCTAATGATGCGTCGTCCATTGTCAAACATATATAATATGCTTAACGTCTATTTAAAATGTCCACATGAGATACAAACAACGACTTAGTAATGTAATAATTGAATAATATTCGGCCGTTGTTGATTCATTCCCAGGTAGAATTTGTGTTTAATTTGTTTAATAATTATACTAAAAATTTAACACAATACTTTACTCTACGCAAAGCTGTGTTGTTTTTTTTCTGTTTATTATTATTATTATTATTATTGTTATTGTTATTATTATTAATATTATTAATATTATTATATTATGCGTGCGCGTACATTATCTATGCACTGTCACATTTGTGATACATTTTCTAAATTTGTTGATACTTAATTTATTTTATTTCTTTTCTTCTTCTTTTTTTTTTTTTTTTTTTAATTTAAAGTATCAATCAGATCTTCATTAATGGATGTTATACAATTTCAATGTGCATTCTAATTATCATACGTTACTATTTGTTAAAACTTGTTGTATTCTCAAACAAACAAAAATGTTACACACAAATTTTCTATATACAAGAACACACACACACAAACACACGTATACGTGCGTACATACATATAATGTTTCGATCAGAAACCGTAAAACAATATGTATATGTATATATATATATACGTTTCACAAATCCTAATACGTGCAAAGTATCATCATGAATGCATTTCACACACGTAGAGTTACTAGAGTGTGTGTTTTAAATATGGAATACATATTTATCTAGGATCTCATTTTGCCTAGTTATTTTTTATTCTGTGCATAACGTCCATTAATAAAAACCTAATTAAATCTATCTGAAGAATATATGCAAACAACATTCGTACACTTGTTGTTCTTTCTTTTTATTTGATTATTTTAACAAAGATTGTGTTCCAGATACTCTGTTACCGTCATTTTGTTTCTTTTACAATATATTTTTGTTTGTTTGTTAATATTAATCAGTAACCGTTTTACGGTGACGAAAATTAAACAAAACAACAACAACAAAAAAAAACAAACAAATTAATTTCTTTTATAATAATAACTTTTGCTAATAAGTTTCTTTTTTTATTTATTTATTTATTTAATTAATTAATTAATTAATTATTTTTCCACGGAAGACTCCGCAAATAACAGTTTTCTATACCCTGCAGATTAAAACAGGGACTCGGTTTATAATCCACAAGTAGAAGTGTGGTCCCGAATTATTTTTCTTGACCTGTTTTCTTTTTTCTTTTTTCTTTTTCTTTTCTTTCTTTGTTTTGTGGTATCGTGCATCGATCATCACAATTTTGCTTCTTTTTTTTTTTCTCTCTCTCTCGAGTAAGACTCAAGCTGTATAAGATTCACACGGTGAATACGACCAAAGTACTTGTGATTTGAGAATGTTTTTAAGTTTTTTTTTTTTTGACTTCTTCTTCTTCTTCTTCTTTCTTTTTTTTATTTTCTTTTTAAATATCGAGGTTACGAACAGCCACTTTGTGCAACGATACTCATTATTATTATTATTTTTTTTTTTTTACTAGTATTAATATTATATTATTATTATTATTATTATTATTATTAGTAATAGTAGTAGTAGTAATAGTATTAATATTAATATTAATTGTATCGTTTTATATACGTTTTTAAATAGAACACCTCACTCTTTGTAATTTTTCGAGGGTGTATTTGAAAGAGGTGTTGTATAGGGGTTATTTTTATTATATCATCCCCTATGAGAGAGAAAAAAAAAGAAGAAACATGATTTAAAACGATACGAGTTTTATTAGTATTAGTAGTAGTAAAAAAATTTGTCTCAATACCACTCGTTTCGTTACGCGGTAACTTTGTTTGTTTGTTTGTTTGTGTGTGTTTTTATTTATTTTTTTTTCTTTCTTTCTATTTATCATCATCTCTATTTTTTTTTTTTTTTTCATTTGATTTATTTATCTCATTTCATTTCATTTCATCACATAAGAGGCGCTCCAACACTCGATAAAGAAATTTTTATTTGCATTTTCAAAGCACAAATGTATTATTATTATTATTATTATTATTATTATTATTTTTATTTTCATTTTGTCTTTCAACGAAACCCCTGTCTGTTCGAGCACGCAATTTATAGGCTAACTATAGACAGGAGTATTTTATCAGAGAGTATCAGAATTTTGAAAAATGCGTCATTAACCCATTAAAGTGCACCACTGTGGGTGTTTGACACCCCCAACGTGTTAGAAAGCGTCTCCTAAAGTCGCTATTTAATATTTAGACCTCGCAATTGTTTTTTTTAAAAGTAATTTGATACATCTTTTTTTTTTTTTTAAATAGAATAGGTTTTATATCCATCTGAATTAACACTAGACGGCATTAGACAAATAACCCATTTTTTTCGAATTCAGTACCATTTTCGAGAGATCAAACATTTGTTGTTGGGGATAGGGGGGGTGTCAAACACCCCATGTGCACTTTAAGGATTAAAGAACATTTTTTTCTATTCTTTATCATCTTCTTTTCTTTTTTTTTTTTTTTTATATCAGTTTGACTACGCACGTTCTTTTTCGAATAATAATAATAATATTATTAATTATTATTATTATTATTATTATTATTATTATTATTATTATTTTAAGGAGCTCTGTGTTATCCTTTTTTTTTCATCACATGTATTTACAACAATCGCAAAGCAAACAAATCATATTATTACATATATATATAATTGTGTATATATATATTGTATATATACGTGTATTCATTCGTACTAATTGAAAATTATCTATTATATGTATATATGTGTATATATATATACTCATAATGAAATAATAGATTTTTCAAAAACAAGACTAAAGCATGAAAAACGACATTATCTATAAACCCCAAGTCTATCATCAAATGAATAAAAACGACTCGAGAAATAACTCAATACAATTAATACATAATTCACACATCTATATAATCATCATCATCATCATCATCATCTGCATCATCTATTGCATTTTCAAAAAAACATATCTCATACGTCCATACATTTTCCACGACGTGTCCGCACGACAAACAATTCGGAACTATCCTCCATCTTGTTCTTTTTTTCTTTTGTCATTAATATTTTTTTTTTCTTTTTTTTTCATATATATATATATATATATAATTAATTAAATTAAATTTAACTCTTTATCTTTATATAAACTTAAATTGCACAATTGCAAATAATTATGACGACATTTTGAAAAAGGGCTCAATTCATTTTGTTTTTTTCTTTTTTTCTTTCTTGCGTTCTAGTTTTGTGTTTTGTTTTATTTTGTTTTATTTTTTGTAATAGTTTTGTTTAATTCTTCTTGAATAAAGAAAAGAAAAATGTTTTTTAAGTACACCTTAGCCTGAGATCGAATGACTAGCATTTTCGGTTGTTATTTGCGCCACTATTTTGAAGACGTAAACGATCTTGACGACGTGGCCGTTTCCCCTTTACACCGAACACTTCCCTTAATTTGTTACTCCTCTCCAATCGACCTCTCTTCAGTACTTGAGTCGATCTTTTCTCAAGAACCTATTTATGGGAAATAGAAATGAAAGATTAGTCATCATTAAAAAGAAAAAGAAAAAGTCATGAATGAAAGAACAAAAGAGTAGGTCACAGCGCATAACGGTTGGCCTCATTTTCTATCAACTTGTAACAATTTATAAAGCAAAATTCTATTAAACTATTATAAAGTATCCTCCTCCTCCATTTTACAGTCATATAAAGATCATTCAATTTTTGAAATAATCATCAAATAAAATAAAACAAAAATATCTTTGTTTAAAATGTTAAAATACATTATTTTATAATCTAAGTATTGAATATATAGAAAGAGAATAATTCTTGTTAACAATCGTAGTACAATGGTAAATAAGCACCTTTTGAGCGGAACGAAGCTGAACGACTCGGACTTTGTCGCTATTAGTCCGGTTATTGGTAGGTCTACCGTCATGGATGGCCGGTCTGGATAATGTATCGTCATCCTCGCTCCTTCTTAAACTACGTTCTAAGGAAACGGTGGTGGATAAATCTGAGGTACGAGCAGGTTGAGTAGTAAGTTCTTCTTCTTCTTCTACAAGGTCTCGTTCCTCTGTAGCATCTGGCGTTGGTGGTGGAGTATCAGGAGCGATAGGAGACGCTGTTGCTCGATAAACAGACATACTTGGATGCTCGATCAGCAGGTCTTCGAGCGGTGAGGTTTCTACGTTTACGGGTCCTGCCCGTGTAAAACATGCGGGTGGTGTTACATACCACGATTCCTCCAGCGCCGTTGCGCCCTCAACTAAAAACAATTTTATTACAATTAATAATATTTACCTTTTTTTTTTTTTTTGTTTTTATTCTTGTCACATACAATTAATATAATTTTCATTTTTATCATTTATATTTTTATTGTTATACATTGTATTTGTTAAAAGAATTTTTATTGGGTTACATTTAAATTTGTCATTTTACCTTTCAATTATATTTCAATGTTATTTCATTTCATCGTTGATTTGTTGCTATTGAAATTCAATATTTAATTGATTATTTATCATCATTATTCAATTGTTAAATATCTTTTATATAAGATTGATTGAAAATACTTGTTATTTGAACTGTTATAATTGTTAATATTAAACTGTTGATCGATTTAATATTAAGTATTGTATAAATATGATCCAATATTACTCATCTTTCGATTATACCTTATCAATTTAGTCGAATAAATGTCGTTCAACTCTATAGTTTCGAATTGCGATCAATTGTATAATTCATTTCGTAGACAGAGACAGTTTTTTTTTTTTTTTAATCGCTAAGATAAGATATTTGTATAAGTGATTTTTCGTCTGGTTTTTACTTTGACCTTTCTAATATTTAAAAGAGATATTCTAATATAAATATAATATTAATATTTTGTAGGAAATATAAAGATACAACATTTAAAAGAATTGTAATTAATTTAATTAATTAATTAACAAAACTTACTAGTGCGGTCGATGAGGATCCAATCTTCGCCCTCGACCTCCACCTGGCTGAGTCTTGCTATTACAGGAATATGATCCAGACTTTCACTATTGGAAGAAGCATTGCGCGAATTTTGTGTTGTGGAGATGTTACCTCCTAGTAAATAGTTTGCCAAGCTACTTAGCATGCTGTCTATTGTTTTTATTCCTTTCCTTTTAATATCTGTAATAAAAAGAAAAAATATATCTAATTATAAATAATTATAAGATTTGGTGTTAAATCTTTTCTATAAATATTAAAACTAAATAAATATTTATAAATATTAAATATATTATTAAGTATTAAATAATTTATAAATTAAATATATATATATATATAATAAAGTATTTAATATTTAATTTATTTAGTTATATAATATTATATATTTTAATATAAATTACATGTCACACGTTGTTTGTCCGCAATGGACTCCTAAACTATTGAACCTATTTGAATAAAATTTTCCACACTGTGTGCAGTTTCATCTAACTTGAAAGATAGGATAGTTTATATCTCAATTAATTGCGAATTATTTGATTATTAACAAAGAGTCATGATTATCTCTGTTAGTTCGATAAGATTCTAACAGATAGCGGTATAATATTATAATATTAATATAATTACAAAATTTATAATGTAATAATTGTAATCCTGTGCCAATTAACGTTAATGATAAAAACCAAGGAAAATAAAAAAAATTCAATAGAAAAAATATTATCATTCATCATTTGATTTTTTGAAATCGACTAATGATCCTTAGATAAATAGGTCGGTTTAGTTTATCGCATGAGTAATACATAGACACATGTTTATTATATGAAACGCGTAATTACACTAGCACTAATGAGAAAGGCGAACACTGCCATATATGCATTCATGGTCAAACAATCGTATAAGTTATTGTGTAAAGTTACAACATGTAGAAAAAGTGTAATCTTTAAAGAAGGCCGACAACGACGACGACGACGACGACGACGACAGGTACATCGTACATTACAAATTTCGAAGAATGTAATCGTGTAATTGACTAAACATACAATAGATATGAATATAAATTGAAACAAAATTTACTTACACACTATTTTTGTTTTGTTATATTTTTCACTAATGTTACAAATTTCACCTATTTATTATAAAATTAATAAACGTTTGTACAGTATTTATAATCGATTCATGTAATATACTTTTATTACATATCATAACGTATGTAAAATAATAATTATCAAATGAACAGTATATTGCGTCGCAAGAACAAAACTATCTATACGAGTTGTAACCACGTCAGCTTCGTGTTTCGTACTAATACGATCTTCCTTCTACAATTCGATAAGAAACGTCGGATCGCTATTGATGATGCAATTTGCGTTCCGATTTTCATCTACCATTTAAAAGACAGACTACTACTACTACTACTTGGTCAGGATTTGAAAGTTGATAATAAAAATCAACACACGTATTATACAAAAGCTTATGATCATCATTATCGTTATTATTCATAATTCCTGATGTTTATTTTATAAACAATTTAATTTACGCGTAAATCAATTTCTATTATTTTAGTTGATTTAATACGAATTATTGGATTTATCAATTCAATTATTTATTCTCTCTGTGTTTGTGTTTTTTTTTTTTTTTTTACTTTTTTCGATGAGCTTTGCTGTGTGAAAGCGAGTGACTTCGTTATCTCGTTTTTTAAAATTGCTATTCTCAAATTGCGATATGCACAATATCGCAAAAAAAAAAAAACAAATAAATAAATCAAGAATTTGTACGTAGAAACAAAATAAAATTATATAAAATAATATTATGTCAGATTTAATCTCGTATCTTAAAAATACGTAACAGTAAAACTCTATAACTTTAGTTATTTTTGATATGACCTTCAAAATCACTCTTGCCAACTAGTTTCTTTTTTTGATTTTATAATACTTAGGATCAAACGTATGAGCTTATACATTTTTTTTTTTTTTTTAGTTTACATTGATAAATTATATGAGAGAAATTATTTGAAATTAGACGAATGAATGATACGAAGCAAGAATTAAATGTACTTGGTTCAACGTTGAAATAGTTTATTTCAAATAATATTGAATTCATTTTACTGAATTTATTTAATAAAATAAAACAAGAATATATTATCTTTAATATAGAATCAAAAATTTCAAATGTAAATTTGTAAGAATATTTTTCAAAATCAAACACAAGAATTGAAATACATATATATATATATATATATATATTAATTTAATTGATAAAATATAAAAAATGAAATATATTCCATAATTAGAATGGAAAGTTTACAAACGCGTATGAAAGATTTTTGAAAAAGAATACAATCGTGTTCTGGCCAACGTTAAAATATTCGTTGTAAAAATAGAAGCATTAGCTCACACATAGTGTTCGCGAATCGGCGATATTGCACAATGGATTGTGTTGTGTGCCGTGTTGGCAAGAATGATTTCAACTTCGTCAGAGAAAAATACAAATATACACATAAGAGGGTGTCAATGGCCTGTTTCACTTCGTAATACGTTAAGGAACATGTTTTCCCTGAGGGTCGTGGTGTGGTCTCTCTGTGCCTATGCCTTTCACATATCTGCTACCTTGCCATTGCCCTTGCACTAATGACAATAAGGACAGCACGAGGTCCACCAACACAACAGTCAACGATCTAAATCTCTAAACTAAAACAACCTGACTTCCAACCGTTATTATTTCTATTGCATCCAATGAAATTGTGAAATAACTTTTTTTTTTTCTTCTCTTCCCCTGTCTTTTAACATTTCGAAATATCACGCTATTATTTCTTTTCTTTTTTTTCTTTTTACAATCTGAAATATAAATAAATAAATTAAGAACTTTTTGTTTTTTTTTACTGACACATTTTTCATTTTTCAATATCAAATTTTGTTTGAAATAAAACTGTATTATTATATTTTTGTATTGTTTTACTTTATTATTAATGATTCAAATAATATCATTGTATGATTTGTTATCTTCAATATAACAAATTTTTTCTTATCAATCTGAAATATAAATAAATAAATAAATAAATAAATAAGAGATATTTGTTTTTTGTAGGTTACATCTTGAACGTAATAATAATTTGCCATTCAAATTAATAGTTTCATTACTGATTAACGTAGTATCTACTGTAGTAGTACTGTTACTGATTAACGTGGTATCTCTATCTCTTCAAATTAAATACGTTTTTCTTTTTATGACAAAATCTGAAATACAAATAGAATAATTATAACATATTTTTGTTGTTGTTGTTGTAAATAACATAAAAATTTATTATTAAAAATCAAATTTTCTTACAATTTGATAAACCCCATAAACAGAAAAAGTATCTCTGATACTATTCTGCGAATAATTATTAACAACGTCCCATAGGTTATACATATATTATCACTATGATAAAACTCTGTAATCTATCGTAAAATATTTTATACATAATACAAATAAAAAAAAAAAAAGAAAAAGAAAAAGAACAGAAAAATTCACAATATAAAATAATACAACGTATTTATTTATCATTATCATCATCATCATCATCATCATCATCATCATCATCATTTCCTCAGCAACGGCGACCATTAAAACATTTCATTAGAATTTAATCTCACCATGATTGTAACCAAATCCAATTAAGAACCAATTAAAGATTTCAATAGTACAAACTATGAAGGTTAAAGTCTAATAAAATTTACGTATAAAATTAAAACTCGAATTGACATGTATAGATTAACCGTTAAAGGACCGATAGGAAAAACGTATTTCCCCCCCACCCCATCCCTCCCCTTCTACCCCTCCTCAACCGTTCTTCCTCCAACATCATCCTCCTCCTCTTCTTCTTCCTTCTCTTTCCTCCTCCTCTTCTTCTTCCTTCTCTTTCCTCCTCCTCTTCTTCTTCCTTCTCTTTCCTCCTCCTCTTCACCAATGACACCCTCTTACCTGTTCCTGTACTTGGTTGCTACGCGCTGTAGCCGACGAAATATACGACAAACAAAGACTCCTTCAAATGGTCGCCCCTCTCGACAGATACACACACATACACAGATTCTAACCCTTCTTAGAATTCTCTCTCTCTCTCTCTCTCTCTCCCTCTCCCTTTCTTTCTTTCTAATAATTATTTTCTAACACACGCGCGCCTATGTTTTATAATTAATAAAAAACTATATATATATATGTCTTCTTTTTACACACATTTAACATTAAAAACTATTTCAATATAACACTATGAATCATCAACTAAAACAAAAGTAGTAATAATAATAATAATACTAACGAACTGAATATATCATCAATAATTTAGTTTGATATTAACGATAATCAAAATATAATCGAAACGAGTGTATGATAATCGATGCAACTTCATATCGATCCGGGAAATTTTAAACAAATGACCTTGAGTAAAAGCCGCGAAATTTAAATTGAAAAAAGAAAATGACAGATGATTCTTTGAAATGGATCGTAAAGGAATGTCTTTTATTCGATTTTTTTTTTTTTTTTTAGATCGAACAATGACGAATTATTAGGTATGATCTATACCACGAAAGAATGATTGAATCGTTGTATAAAACGACCTTGATCTCGAATTTACTTCTTATAAATGTACTTCGTATACCGTTGAGTAGTTTTCCTCGACGCAATAGAATTTCTCTCGGAAAGATGGTAAAACTATGATACGATGATCCCAACTCGATTATGTGTACAAGTGAACAAATGTGTAGTATACTATGTGTATATAAATGGTGCACTAATACTATAAACGTCTATCTCTATTTCCTTTCTTCACTCTTTACTTTGAATGTGTGTATGTATATATGTGTTAACGCGCGCGCGCGCAAGTATTCATTTATTTAATACGTGTAGTATATATTGTGATAGATCGTTGAAAATTCGAATCTCAGTAATGTTCAGTTTATTTCACACAAATACTTGAATTTTCCATGTTCATCCCTTTCTATTTGCTGCTGTCTATCTGCTGTCTATCTTGCTATGTGTATGTATATGTGTGTGTGTTTGTTCTTTCTATCTTACCCCTCCCTTTCTCCTCTTCTTCCACCTCTCCTCCTCCTCTCCTCCTCCTCCTCCTCTTCGTTCCTATGTCTATTAAATATATAAACGATATACGAGACAAAGATGAGTTTCGTTCATCATCACGTTTGACAGCTCATTTCTTCCGCAATAATTGACTGAAGTATCTCCCATGTATATACGTGTGTATTATAACATATATAAATAATGCTCTTACGTAAGATTATTTATGAAAAAAAAAAATAAATGAATGAGAATGAGAGTGAGAGTACGAGATGGTATTTAAATGTAGTGACACACGTAAGGAATAAACAAGATACGAAGAAATGTAAAAAAGAATAAGATGAAGAGAATGAATAAGAATACGAAAAGTAATAGAAAGAGAGAAGTAAACGGAGTAGGTAACTCGCCTGAACAATGTTGCGTTTGAGGAACCGTGGTAGCAACTGCCCGCAGTAACAGTCGTCAGCTGATTTCGACTGGCTGGCTGGATTGCTGGCTGGGTAAACGATAAGCTGATTGGTCGAGCGCCGAATAGAGGGGATGGCAGACGAGAAGGGAGATAGTAGAAGGAGCGACATGGAGGGGGGGAATCATTTCAAAGCAGTCACAGGGACGTATCACGTTGGGGCAACGATAGGTCATCATCCCAGATGTCAATACTCTTCACTTTTTACGTTTATATTTCTATTATTTACTTCTCTTATACATATATATGTGTATATGTGTATATATTATATTTTATCATTAAATATGCATAAAAAGATATACAATTTTAATGTCATGTTATTGTTTAAATGAAATGTTAATATGTAATGTTTGTCTATGTGTTTATTATTATTTGATCTTATTATTATTAGTATTATTAATAAAATAGTGTTGGGATGATATATATCTATAGACAGGGGGTTAGTTCTGATCGATCGTACGCCATCAAAGAATTCCATTCATCCGTCTATTAGCTAAAAGTCTATGAATCATGATGATTTTCTTGTATGTATATTTAAAAGGGTATAAAAAAAAATTCTGTTGTTTTATCGTTAATTTTTTAATGGTATCTGAAGAAAAACAAAAGAAATATGTGTTATTCGTTAGACGGGTTGCAATCTTTTAACGATGATGACCTTTGTACACACGTATATATTCATATATACACACAAGTTATGTTATACCATCCGCTCAATTTAGAACGTCAAAAGGTCGTCATAATATCGGTAAAAAGCAAGTATACACTTGCACAAGGAGTATCGTAAGAATTATATGAAACTTCTTTGTCCTATCTTCGTAACAGTAAAGACTTATTTACAAACTCGCAAAAATAGAACGAACACGAGGGTTTTTGTGCAATGTTAATTGCGAAAATCATTTCGCGAGTTTGGCATCGAGTCGTTATTATTTCTCGGAATGTTTCCATTGCGTTTATTCTTGATAAACGTCACGCGATTATTTTCATTCTAAAATTCATTTTTGTAAAAATCTATTATGTGATCGGGGTGAGTGAGGGGATCTTCGATCTGCTTGTTACGAGACTGGATACAAACGAGTAGGTGGAGGGGGAACGCTCAGCTGGGCGAACAGCTGCTGGATGCTTCTTAACGACAGGAACCAATGCAGCTCCCTGAAGAAGAATTATTTATCTTTTCAATTTCATACGACTGTCATTATATGCAAATTTCAAATTAATGACGTAACACGTGTAACACTTTATCGTAATTACGAGGACTAATAGTTTAAAAGATTTATTTATTAATCGATTATTTATTAACAATTAATTCAACATAAACAATGATTTATTCCTCCATTTAGATTTCAGTTGATAGATGTGACGTGTGTATGTTGACGCCACTGCATATAATACTCATCAAAACAGTGGTTCTCAAACTTTTATCGATTTGTATCGATCGATAATAATAAATTAAATAAACAAAATGTAATCATTATTATTCATAATTTATTATTATCAATATTAATCATTTCTCGTTGAATATCACTTAACTTTTGATCAATAACCAGTCAAAAATACGATGTTTTCGTTAAATCAATGCAATTAACGTTCCTAACCTTATCTCTATTAATCATTACGCGATACTCTTATATTAAATGATATATAAAATAATTATTTAAAAAAAGAATAAAAGATATAACACGTGTTTACAAGTGTTTACAGAATCTGTTGATAGAACGTCACTGATTAAACACGAAAGAACGATAGTTCACGAGACTGCGCTGTTTGTCACGTCGATAGTTATGACAGAGGTAGGAGGGTGAAAAAGAGGTAAAAAGGGAGAAGAGAAGGAAGGGTTTATTACCTCGCTATCAACAACGACAAACTTTTGTCTACTTTGTCTGTAAACATATCGTCTCGAATTTAACGATTATTTTCTATTTATTCGTGTGCAATAATTTACTGTTTTAAAAAATAATATTTTACAAGTGGCATTTATAGAAAATATAAATAAATATAGACATGATATTTTTGTTATCTCATCTTACTGTTTGAAAATTGGAAAAAAAAAAATGTGTAATGTATATCGTAGATGTTGAACTTGTTTTTTAGAATTAACAAAAAAAAACAAAAAAAAAACGTACATTCTTTTTATGTTAATATTGTGTTTGTGTTAACAGTTCTGTTGTATTTTTTCTAATTTTAGTTACAAAGTCATGGACTTTGTCTTTAGAAACTGCATTCTTCCAGTTTCCATCTATTTTAAAACTAGTTCCAACAATTACTGCATCTGAAGATTTATAGTGATCTATGTTTTCAATAGATACTCCTGATCCAATAAGAACTGGTCCTTTAGCAACCTTTTTAACTTCTGTGTAGCATTAATTTTTTGTTGGTTCATTTGTAAATATTTAATATAATATTACATTAATCCTTTGCACTTGAGGGTTCTGAATAGAAGTCATTTTCATACTTTGTAATGAAATGTAACAAACACCAGGAAAGTATCATGCAAAATAACTGCTAATAGAAGTACAAAAAGAAACCTTCAAATGCAAAGGGTTAATTTAAAAAATAGAAAACAATTACCCTTCAATTCTTGTAAATCTGCTGGATCCCCTGTTGCTGAGCCTGTTAATATAACACCATCGGCTAAAAAGAATTCTGCAGCTTTGACTGTTTCTGCTATGCTGATATCTGATGTTATCGCATGTGAACTGCATGATTGAACAAAAAATATACAATACATAAATATAATAAAATAACAAAACATTTAGATTAAACAATGTATACTTCAATCTTTACCTATGTTTTTTTTTTATATCTGCAAAGATGAGAATATTCTCTGCATCAATATGTTTTCTATAACGAAGAAGATTTCCTGAACAACCATCTATAAAACCTTCATCTGCAATATGCGAAAAGATGTAACCTTCGCTTCTAATGAAATTGAAATCAGCAGCTTTGGCAACAGCTAATGCTTCTTTATTACAACCTGCTAAAATCTGCATGATCAATAAAACAATAAACATTATAATAAATAAATTTATACAATAAATTATATTCTCATTTTTACCTGTATACCACAAGCTATGCTTTCAGGTATTACTTTTCTAATTTCAACGCATATTCTTGTCATCATTGCTGTTGTTTCTGATGATATATCTTTAGATTTGACATATGGTACATCGTGCATATTTTCTACAATAATACCATCCTAAATGTAACACAATAGAAATAAATAATCAAATGTAAAAAAAGGATATAACTTTGTTGTTTAATTATTTACCACTTGACAGTCCTTATAAATCATTGCTTCTTTCAATGCAGTTTTTATTATTTCTTTCATACTTCCATTATATTTAGGAGTACCTACAAAATACATTTTAATTATATATTTGTCATTTCAATTTGTATTTTATAAAAAAAAAGAGAAAAATTACATACCAGGTAATGCACCAACATGGATCATTCCAATAACAGAACATGTACTTTTTGGAAATAATTTACGAAATCTTAACATATTTTGTATCTAACAATAAATTTGTACAATCTTTAGATTTACGTATTAAAAATATTTGAAATCTAAAATATGTACACACTTATAAGAAATCAATTGTATAAAAACAATGTATATAGATATGCTCTTATCAATATACACTCAATCCTATACACGTGATCACAGTGACTAATAGTATATATGCGTATATACTTTATATTTATTACATATATACAACAAAAAATACAGTATTACTATATAGTTATTTTTAACTACATTACTTGTAGTTTTTTTTTTTTTTTAATGAATTCACAGAAATAAAGTGGTGTAAAAAAAAAACAATAAATGCTTAACATATTAAATCACATAACCTCACTTCAGTCTCTACAATGACACCTGTCAAATTTTGATAAAACAATTTGAATTGAACTTCGTGCATATCTTTTATTTGTAGATTATTATCAAAAATGTTACGTCACAGATTATTAAATATTATTAAACAAGCAAGCCATGCATCAAAGAGAAAAGTTATTAAATACACTAGCACAGGCATGTATGATAAATATGCAATTGTTTATGAAACTGATAATAATATTATTGTTATTTGTTTAGGATTATTTCTATTAGGCACTAGTTATATTTTAACTAATCCAAACAAAGTTAAACCATTTCAATTTAAAGCTGCAAGTATTGCTAGATTTGGACGATCACTTATGATAGGATTAACAGTATCTGTAGATTACTGGATAGCACCGTTAATGGGTTACACAGAATCTGAAATTCATCAACGAGCAGCAGATCGTATTGTACAAGGGTGTTTACAAAACGGAGGAATATACATTAAACTTGGACAAGGCTTAGGAGCTGTTAATCATATCCTACCTAAAGAGTATGTTAATTCTTTAGAAATTTTACAGGTATCTGTAATACGTAGTAAATTTTATCCAATGATTTCATTGTAACAATAGAATCTAAATATTTATCTTGTCGTTTCTATTATTTAAGGATAAATGTTTGATACGTGGTGAAAATGAATTACAAGAAATATTTATACAAGAATTTGGAAAAAAACCTAATGAGGTATTTAAGAAGATTGATGAACAACCTGTAGCAGCTGCTAGTTTAGCACAGGTATATAAACATAATGACAAGTATTTTTAAACAAATGAATATGTTCAATGTGATAACAAATATTTAGGTTTACAAAGCAGAAACTACGGACGGTGAACCTGTTGCTGTTAAAGTACAATACATTGATCTCAGAGATAGATTTTATTCCGACATGAGAACATTAAATTATTTACTTAAAATTATTACAATTATGCATCCAAAATTTAATTTACATTGGGTAATAGATGTAAGTAATTATGTTGTAGTAAATAATCTACGTTTTTTAATTATTATTATTTTTATGAATCATTTGAAACTTGATTGATTTTAGGAACTTTTTGAAACGTTAGCACAAGAATTAGATTTTGAATTGGAAGGTAAAAATTCTGAGAGATGTGCCAAAGATCTTAAAAAACATGATTATGTACATATACCTAAAGTCTATTGGGATCTTAGTACAAAGGTTCAAAATTTGATTATTAAAATGTTCATATCCTCAATTTCAATGATTTTATCTTGTGTGTGTGTTTTTTTTTATTCCAGAGAATTCTTACAACTGAATGGATCGATGGTATTAAAATAAACAATGTTAAAGAATTAAAAAACAAAGGATTAAATTTACGCGACATTGATACTAAATTAATTACTTTAATGGGAGAACAAATTTTTCATACAGGATTCGTTCATGGTGATCCTCATCCTGGCAATAGTAATTTTTTTTTTGTTTTTTCAAATTTATTATATTTCCTTTTAAAAAAAAATATCAATAAACATTAAATATATCCAATAAATTCTCGTAACAAAAAATAATTAGTCATCTATAGTTTTTGTTAGGAAGGGACATGATAATAAAGCACAAATAATTTTATTGGATCATGGATTATACGAATATTTATCGGAAAAAACAAGAATTAGTTTGTGCAATTTTTGGGAATCTATGATATTAAAAAATAATCATGCTATGAATGTTTATGGTAAAGAATTGAATGTTGATGGTATGTATAATGTTATTCAAATCTTTTGAAATGTTCTAATGTATTATAAATAAATACAATATTTTTTGTTCTTTAGATCCCATTCTTTTAGCTGAAATGTTAACTCAGGCACCGTATTCTTTATCACCATTTTTAACAACTGAGAAAGGAAAGAAAGCAGAAGAACATATGATTAAACAAGCCCAAGAACATTTTGATAAAATTGCAGCAACATTAAGAACAATGCCTAAAACTATGATGTTAATTATTAGGTAATTATTGTACATTGTTTCATACAAACAAAGACAATCGAAACGTCGATTAAAAGTAATTGTTTAAATTGTTGTTAATTTCAGAAATTTAAATACTATTCGTGCTATCGTACAAGATCATGGAAATATTATAGATCGTTATAGAATAATGGCAAAAATTGCTGTACGTGGAAGATACAAAGTTACAAATTTATCAATTAAAAAATACATCAAAGGAACAATATACAAAGTTAAATTTGAAACGTATTTATGGTAAGTTAATTGTCTAAGATTAACCCCTTTCGTGCTATAATTTAACACATACAGTGTTTGGGTCGTAAAACATATCACATGTTGTTATAGCATGCACAAGGGGTTAATAATTATTATTAGTATTATTTAGATTTATTAATAATCATTTTTTTTTTTTTACAGGCTATACAGTTTCATTCAATGGTTACTTAAAACTTATTTAAATGTTTTATGGTTAATGGGTTACGACACTAAACAAGTTGTTCAACTTGTAGCAACACAATCTTTTGCTATTTAATTAAAAAGCTTAATCTTTGATTTATAATTAGAAAGAAAGTACACGATAAAATGAATTTTACGATAAGTATACATTCTGTAAATATTATACTATGTAAAAGAATATATATAATTATATATTGTATATTATGAATGATTTCGTTTGGATTAAACCATCGAATTAAAAAAAAAAAACAAACAAATTCAGATTCAAATAATATCATCCAATATTACTACTACTATTTTATATATAAAATGTGAAGAAATAAAAACAAAAAAAAAAAATAAATTAAAAAAATATAGACATAATATGTTTTGTAATATAAGCTAGTTTTAATAATTATTTGTTGTTATACACTTGCATTTATTGTTACTAAAAAATAATAATGCACCGCTCCATTTATATAATATATAACTTGCTAAAGAGTAAAACTTATAATGGTGTAAACGTGAGCAAAGTTTTACTTAATCATAACAATAATTATTTGTATTTATAATTTCATTTGTTTGTTTGTTTGTTTTTGCGTGTTTTTTTAATTTTATTACAAATTATAACGATGCTTCTTTATACTAATATTATTTTTCTTTTCATTATCGTGATTAATTCATTTGTGACCGTAAAGAACCGTAAGAAAATCATTCCAAATAAATTTTATTACCTAGTAAATACATTATTGTGAATAAATTATTATCTAGAAAATAACTTCTTCTTCTTCTTCTTCATCTTCATCAGTAAGATTTGAAAGAAGCCTTGACATATTCATTATGCATTACTCGTACACGTATGATCATCCAACTATCGTTTAAAAACAAGAATAAAATTCTTTCTTGTTTTTTCTTCTTGTATTCTTGTATACATATGAAACACTGGTGGCATTCAATCTAATATCATTAATTTTGTCTTTCGTGAAATAATATGAGAAATCGTTACATTTTTCTTTTTCTTTTCTTTTCTTTCTTTCTTCCTTTTCTTTTCTTTTTTTTTCAATTGCATTGTTAACAATCAGTACTATATATATTATTTTATGCTCAAATATAGAGCTTGTTGTTTTGTAAAACATATATTATATTTAAAATGGTGGTGACAGCGAGACGTAGATAAATAATGCGTTAACTAAACTACGCATTTTGGGTTAAAGTAATTTTGAATTATTATCTTTGATGATGATTCAATAATATGAATTTAAACAAAAAATGTTTCCTTAAGAGCATAATAATGCGTATTACTCATCAGCATAATCCAACAGGAAAATGAAATATATGTCGAAATAAATTAGATAGATAATCTTCTAGATATTACCATTTATATACATTCAGTTATGTTTTGTTTTGTTTGTTTGTTTGTTTTTCTTTTTAATATGGTAATATAAAGTCAAATTAAAATAGAGACGAATATTTATAGATGTTGTTGTTGTTGGTGCATGTTAAGTAATACTTTCAGTTTAGCTTTATGTACTGATATAATAATTATAATAATATTATTAATAAAAATAATAATAATAATAATAAATTAAAGGAGTATGATCTTTTTGATATAAGCAAGCTGAGAGATAGATTGTTAAAAAAAATTTTATGATTTTTTCCATGGAAAATAAAGATTAATTGTTTAGGCAGTTTTTGCTCGAATAGCAGCACGTTTTCCTGTGACAGCCTAGAATAATATCAAATATAACATATTATAGTTATGAGTACAATATATATATATATATTTTGAAATGTTATGTCAAACATATGCATATAAAAAAAAATATATATATATATAATATCTTACTTGAAATCCAGATTTTATACTGGCTACAGAGCACCTAGATCCACAGGTTTCACATTGTAAGAAAAATAGTCTAGTATCTTTCTGAAGAATAGTGTCAGGTGAACGACACGTGTGACAGGTAACATATTCCTTAATATATCTCCTAAGGACATTCTCTATTTGTTTTTGCTGGAAACGTCCCTTGATAATAAGTTGGCTGTTACCATCTACAGAACCACTAGTACCCAATTCAGCCAATAAGAAATCAAGCAAATGTTTAGCTTGTCTATGCAATGTTTTACAAATCTATAATACAAAGTTTTTTTTTTTTTTTTAAAGTATTAACAAAATGATCAATAATTAAAATATTACATTACATATAGAAATAAATTACCTCTGTAAAATTAGCGAAGGATGTTTTTTTTGTACCTATACGTACAACCTGTGGAGGACGCATAACAAACTTCTGCTTTTTACCAGCCACCATATCAGGATTCTTTTCTCGCATGATGTTAAACACTCGTACAAGTAATTCATCATACGTATAATCTCTATCCGATCCGATCCATAAACTTGGTACCTCCACTAAAGAGAATAAACATTATGTTTTAGAAATTCATTTTAAAAATAGAACAAAATTGATTAAATGATTAAGTGTGTAAAGTCTAAGACTAATCTGTAGAAATTGATAGGACATTTAATATGATAGAAAAGTAAGATTGATAAACAGTAATTATTTGTATTAGATGATGACTTATTATTTAGATGATTAGATTTTAATGATTTTTTAGATGACTCTTATATAGATTATAAGATCCCATTATTTGTATTCTTACCGTACTCTGCACTTTGCTCAGATTCAGTGCAGCATGTTAACAAATAATAAACATGATAAACCAACTGAAACTTTAATAGATCGTTTAATGCTAAATTATATTTACCATTTTCTTTGTCTTCGATATCTTTCCGTTCTTCTTCTGCTACTAATTCATCTAAATCCTTCTTCCTCTTCTTCTTCTTTTTTGTTTTAGAAAAGTCCATATCTAAATCCAAGTCATCGTCCACAGCTGTTTCTTCAACCGGTGGCTCCATAACATCCTTTAAATAGAAAACATTATTACAATGTGAAATTGACATTTGGTATGTGCATAGATAAAGTTGTATTTTTTAAATGACATTTACTTCTTTTTTAGTGTCTGGCAAAGCAGCATCCAAGTCGTTCAAATTAAATGCCTTTTTCTTTTTTTTCTTTTTCTTTCCAAAATTTTCTAAATCCAAGGTTTCGTCATCCTCAGCCATTAGAGGCTCGGGCTCTTGGTTTTCCTTATTACCGGTAATTTCATTTGCATCACCCGTACTACCAGATTCATTAAATTCACCATCGATGTCAAACATGCCCTTCTTCTTCTTCTTCTTCTTCTTCAAGCTTGGATCAAAGATCTATGACAGAATGTGTCATCGTTAATCATTGATTATTTTATTTCACTATTTATTAGAATAATTGTAAAACTAAATTAATATATTATTAATGGGAGAAATTTGATTGAATTGTAATTTAACTTTGATATCATGATAATTTTTTTAACATCTGGTTATTTAATAAATTGATAAATAATTAAATGCTTTATTAATTAATAAAAAAAAAAACAAATGTCAAATTAAATCATGCTATTTCAATGGAAATATATCAGTGAAATTAAAGATGAATTTAATTTATCACACATCATCGAATTCTAAACTCGTGGCATAACATTTTTTTATGATGGCGAAATATCCACATGCTTTTGAGGTTGGGTTTCTCTGAATTAGCACGAGTTTTCACTTTTATGATATTAATCTCAATAAAATTGTTCAAAATGTTTTCAAATATTGCTATTATTAGAATAACAATATTTAATATTAATAAAAGTGTCTATAAATTGTATTAATATAATTTATGATTTCATTCTTCTTCATTCATGATGAAATATGTTATTTAAAGATAGTTTGAAGGTATATATGACTTACCGAATCTTCTTCTGTCATTTTACACGCCGAATTAAATTGCTTCAAAGAAAACTAAAATATTTGATAGTTTATAATAACTTTATATAGATTTTATTTAATGAATAGCTCACAGCACTTTTTAATCGAAATTCGTCCACCCAACGTATTTAAGACTTCTTCCAGAATGTTGCATCAGAAATTCGACTTTGCTACTGCGGGCGTATTTTTATTGCAACGACCATTTTACACTAGTATAATGGCGATTCTCATCAAATTTATTTTTCCATTATCTAAATATATTTGTCTAATTAATTAAATATATCTTATATTTATTAATTTAATAAAATCACAATTATGACGTTTGGTAACAATTGACACTACAATCGATTTATATTTATATTTTGTTCGATTATCGATCTTATAATTATTTATATACTATTTTATTTATAATTTACTATAATTTATCGATAGTCAGTGATATAAAACTAGACCAATCAACGAGAAGTATATTACCATTAACGATTTTCATGAAATAGTATATCTATGTATGGTCTATTTGGTTACATGTAAACATAACCTAAGTTTTACCCTTCTGTCGTTAAATTATCTGTAAATTGTGCTTGCTTTGGCTCGCTCGCTCAACGCAACAAATAATGGATGACTTGTGTTGTTATTTGCAAGGAAGATTATTGCATGTAGACGAATATAAATAGTAAATTATTGATTAAACCAAATTCTTTAAGTTTCTATCAAAACAAAGGATGAAATATTTAGTTATTTAATTAGTTCTAATCACGAAGACGTAACATTGTTTTGGATCTCGAATAGAAGAAGTGACAGTGTGTTGTGTGGTGTGTACTTTTTCAACACCATAGGTTGTATATTTTGTTTCTGTAGGAAAGTGATTATAATTAATTACTGATCAATATGTGATTCGTGTCAAAAGAAAAGAGAGAGAAAAAAAAGAACAAAAGAAAAATAAATAAATATTAAATGATCATAAGAAAATATCGTTTAGATTTCCTCCATTAAAATGGGGGGAGATAATTTGCTTGACATAGAGCTCATGAAATTATGTAAACCAGACAGGGGATGTATTTGATAACTGGCTATTTAAAATCCAACACTGTTGTTGTTGTTGTTGTTGTTATTGTGCCTGAATAATAAATATAGCCTTGTTCTATGTGCCTAATGCACTAATACATTTTTCATCATGGTAAATAAGCCAAACACGTACAGTTACGATTTTTGGGCAATAACACCGACAGATATCGTTGAGCTAACATGCCTAATGCCCAATGGTGTGTTAGTTCCACTGGATACAAATCGTAATGCTATATTGGCTGAAATTAAAGAAGTAAGTATTCTTCTCCTTCTATAGTTCTTTGGTTTCAATCATTGAAAAATGGTATAAGATTTTATAGATATTTTCTTAACGTCTATGTATATTTTAGGATCTTTGGGACGAGGCTAGCAAGTATCCCCTTCATGGAATATTAAAAGATGCGCAATCATATGTATTTTCATACATTAACACTAACGCAGAAGCAGAAGAACTGAGAGATGAATCAAGACGTCTTTGTGATATTAAACCATTTTGTTCCGTATTAAAAGTTATTGAACGGGAGGGTATAAAAAATGATAGAAATTTAGATGCCCAAATAGGTCATATTATCGGAAAAGGATTACATGAATTTGCTGCCTTAAAAAATTCCGAAGTCAATGACTTCAGATGGAAGATGCGAGTATTGGGTGATGAAGTGGCTCGTGCTAGGCAAAAGAAATCGTCTATGGAAAAAATACAATATCAATATCCGTTAAGGTTAGCTCCAACTCCTGAGATACCTAAAAATATTGAATGTCGACTGAAGGATGGAAATCTTGTTCTCGTTACGAAATTCAGGAATTCAGAGGTATGCAATCATTTTTTTTTTTTATATTATAAAAATAAGCATTACAAAAAGTACAAAGCTATAAAACGAGATTAGTTTAACATATTTTTTTAAAAATGGAAACTTTTACATTCCTTATCATTGTAATTATTTGTAGTCTTTCATTATTATTATTATTATTATTAGTTAGACGATTTAGATGAAGAAATATACATAGTTTGATATGGTTTATGAGTTTTCTTTTTATCTTCACTTAATTTCTTTTTAAATGTCGATTCGTTACCAGATACATCTTTGGTATCTTCGGTAAATTGTACGTTTTTCTTCAACTTTTGTGTTTCTTCCATTAAATTTAAATTAGTTGTTTCATTATACTTTAATGTTGCAACATTATCCGTTGTTTTGCATTGTCCTACATTTGCATTTCCATCCAATTTTGTATTTACAAATTTGTTGCTGACATTATCAAGATGATTTTGATCAGTATTTGAATTACATTTGATATCTAGATTATCAATCTTTGTTTGTAATACATTTTTACATTTGGGATTATTCATTGATGATGCATCTTCGAATGTCATAATTTCAGATTCATTCATTTCTATATTTTTCATGTCTTGTTTATCAAGAGTATCTTTACAATTAATTTTGTGCTGTTCTATCTTTTCAAAAATTGATTTACAATCCGAAGAACATATGTTTTCCAATTCCAATTGACTTTGAATAGCCGATAATTGTGTCTGCAAAGTTTAATGTTAAAATTCATTAATACATACATATAAAAATAATTGTATGTTTAATTAAAAAAAAAAAAAAATACACTTACTTCCATGTACATTGCTCTATATCGCCAATATTGCATTTGTTTGGTCACTTTATGTTTCATTTCCATTTGAAACAACATATCGACGGAATCTCGTTCAATCTTTTGATTTAATTCTTGAATTTGTTTCTTTTTTTCCGCTAATAACTTTTCCATGTAACTAAAGTATTATACATATAATATATATATATATTTTTTTTAATACAAATTGCATGAGAAAATTTTATTTTGTAAACAAAAATATGCTTACCTAAATGAATCATCATCGTCATTCGTTGTTTTTTCAACTTCTTGAATTTCTGCTAATTTTTTTTCTAAATCGCGAATTCTATTTTTATATCTGTTTGTTAATTCGTCATCATCTGAAAATGTTTTCATGCACTCATCCCATTTTTTCAATAATGATGCTTTTTCTATTTTAAAAGAGTTAATCTCTTTACATTTTGCTCCATATGCTCGTTTTAGTTCATCATATTTTTTTTTCATTGTAGTAGCTTTATCTAATGTCAAACGATATCGATCCTCGACTTCAGCAAACAAAGAATTACCTGATGACAAAATTACAATGATTATTTTATCTTCTTCGATATTTCTTTCCTGTATGTATGATAATTAATTGAAAACTAAATAATGATTACCTTTGCATGTTTCACTAGCTGGTGTAATTCTCAATGTTTCTAATTCTGAACGACAAATAGCTAATTCTTCACGAACAGTTTCTAATCCTTCAGTTTTTTCTCTCAAATTATTTTTAGTATCCTATGTAATAAAATAAAATATAATTACTTATTATAATTTGTTTTTCATTATTGTTTAAATAAGAAGTTTAATAAGAAGCTTGAAACTTTACATATTAATGTTGTAAATGTATAATTTTGTTTAGTAACAAAAATAATATTCGTACTTGTAAAATTTCTTGATGTTCAACAAGTTGACTTTTAAGATCTTTAATATAATCTTCAGTATCTTCTCTTTTTCGTCTTTCATCTTCTAAATTATATAATAATTCTTGAATCTGTTCTTTCAATGGTTTTAACTTGTCTTCAATATCATCAATTTTAAGTGGTTTATCTTGTTGTTTTTTTACTTTAAGTTGTTGCAATGATTCATGTAATTCCTTATTTTCTTTTTCTTTTTTATCCAATACTAATCCTAAATCTGCAAGTTCATTTTCATACACTTCTGTATTTTCACGGTTTCTAAATATTAGAAAACAACAAAAAAACAAGTTAAAGAAATTATATAAAATCAAAACACACATATAACATTATTATCAATATTTTTAATATAATAATTAATTTATATATATATATATATTATTATAATTACATATGTTTATTTACTTTTCTTGAATTTTATGTATTTTTTCTTGTGCTTTCTCTTGTTCCTTTAATAATAATTGTTCCAATGACTCATTAGCTTCTTGAAGCTCCTTTTGCATAGCCTCAGTATGGATTAGTTTTAATTGCAATTCGTGTAACTCTTGACGATAATTTTCATTTTGTTGTTGTAATTTACGACAATCTAATGCATTTCCATCCAAAGTCTCGCTTAAATATTCACTCTTTGAGTTTATAAATGCACTCTCATCAGACGAAATCATTGTGTCAGACATTTTGGGGTTATGTTTATGTTTTTCTCAATGCCAGCGTTTGGCGGGAAACAATGGAAGAATTTGAATTTGTAATGCACTTTAGTTGCACTATGGTAATATTTAATAGAAGAATTTATTCTATCAACAATCAAATAATTAATACATAGACATATATAATTAAATGATGCATAATTAATTGTTAATAAATATGAAATATAATAAAAGTGTAATTATTAATATATATGGTTTATTAATTATAATATATAAGGTTGTGGATTGAAAAGTTTTGAGGTTAACACATAGAAACAAATATTTGATAATATATTAATAATAATAATGTATTATTTTTTTTTAGACATCTTTCACGTTTCAAATTCCACATTCTATTACGCCGTACGAGCTATTGGTACTTATTTTAAATAAAAGAGCAAACACAATGATGTTAAGAGGGGAACATCCAAATGACTTCATACTTAAAGTTTGTGGTCAAGAAGAATATTTGATTGGAGAATATCCTCTTATACAGTTTAATTATATTCAAGATTGTTTAGCAAAAGACATTACACCGACGCTTGTTACTCTCAATGCAGATAGTGTATCATTAGATCAGGATAATGGTCCTGAAAATCCAGACGTCGATGCACTGCAACGCACAAGACCTTCCTTTTCTACACTTACACTTCGTAAGAAAGGCAAACATATTTCTGCTTGGAAGATAGATGATCAATTTACGTTCACTGTAAATGGTATTTCTCGACTCAACTGTGATGCTGCCCATCGGACAGTAGAGGTATTATAAATATACATTTCGTAATTAATTAAYAGAATTAATTAGATTAATTTGTTTAAATATTGTGTATGTAGATTGGGTTGCAAGCTGGCCTTTTCCATGGCGGGAAGTCATTGTGCGAGAGTCAGAAAACCAAAGAAACTATAGTAAGCTCTGATGGTAGTTGCGAATGGGAAGAACTTCTTAGATTTGATATTAAAGTTAAGGATATACCTCGAATGGCACGTTTATGTTTTGTCTTGTATGAAATTAGTAAAACTTCAAAAGGCCTAAAGAGTAGAAGACTGGTTAAGGATTCTAAGCAGGAATTCTTTATAAATCCTTTGTGTTGGGCTAACACAACTATATATGACTTTAAGTCTCAATTAAAGACTGGAGCAATGACATTATATACATGGACATATGCAGAGGATATGCAGAGTGATGATTTACTTCATCCTTTAGGAACAGTAGTATCAAATCCACATATTGATAGAGCAGCAGCACTTATGTTGACCTTTCCTAAGTATGTTTATGCTTTTCTTTATGTTTATTCTGTTTCTTTCAAATTACGTTTATGATATCAATTTTAATTATAGTTATGGAAAGGAAAAGTCTGTGCTCTATCCTACTCCAGAAAAAATGGTCGAATATGCTAGAAAATTACGTGAATCCGGTAGCGAAAAAGTAATGCAAGAAGAACCAAATCAAGAAAATGATATTAATAAGTTTCAGCAATTAGAACAATTGAGATCTTTGGCGGACAGAGATCCCCTGCATGAACTCCACGAACAGGAGAAGAAAATAATGTGGGCATTGAGACATCACTGTCTTCATGAAATTCCAACAGTTTTGGCTAAATTATTGCAATGTGTAGAATGGAATGATCACAGGTAACTCTACTTAATATCAATTTTATCTTAGGATCTCTGGCAATTCGACCTATCTACTCTAATTTGGAATTTAGCCACCAGATAGCGTATTCAAGTGCTACAGATCCCAATACTTTAATAGTTAAAAATTATATAAAATCTTATTGTCGTTATTTTTTTTTTTTCAGAGAAGTAGCAGAAGCTACAGCATTAATACAACAGTGGCCAGTGTTGCCAGTAGAAAAAGCATTAGAATTATTAGATTATGCGTATGCCGATCAAAATGTTAGGAGTTTTGCTGTACGTTGTCTTTTTGATGTCAGTGATGAGGATTTGAGTTTATATCTTTTACAATTGGTTCAAGCATTGAAACATGAAAATTATTTGTCGTGTGATTTAACTGAATTTTTATTAGGACGTGCTCTTAATAACCAAAGGATAGGACATTATTTGTTTTGGCATCTTAGGTTTGTTGATATTTTATTATTGTTTATACATAAGCTTGCATAAAAATATAAATTAATTCAACATTTGAATATTTCTCAGGTCAGAAATGCAAGTTGGTTCAGTTTCCGTTCGTTTTGGTCTCATACTTGAAGCTTATTGCAGAGGTAGTCAACAACATATGCGAGCACTTTTTAAACAAATGGAGTGTATGGATAAATTAAGATGTGCTTCTGAACAAGTTAAAATGAAAAAAGATCGTAAAATGGCATTACAAACTTTTCAAGAATATATTCAAGAACCACATTGTCAAGAAGCATTATCCGAAGTTCTCAATCCATTAGATCCAAGTTTTAGGTGGAAACATTTAAAGTAAGCTTTTGTAAAAGCTAATATTTTGTACGTTTTTAAGTTTCATGTTTTTCTTATTTTATGAATGTTGTTCTTTTAACATTTTTTTCTTTTTTTTTCTTCTTCTTTTTTTCTATTTTTGTAGAATAGAAAAATGTCGAGTTATGGATAGCAAAATGCGACCATTGTGGCTTGTATTTGAAAATGCGGATCCATTTGGTGAAGACATTTATTTAATACTTAAACATGGTGACGATTTGAGACAAGACATGCTTACACTTCAAATGTTAAGAATCATGGATAAATTATGGAAAAGAGAAGGTTTAGATTTACGTATGAATCCGTATGGTTGTATATCTACCGAAAATAGAGTTGGAATGATCGAAGTTGTTTTAAATGCTGAAACTATTGCTAATATACAAAAAGAAAAAGGAACATTTTCTGCTACTGCTGCCTTTAGGTACATCATATTGCAAATATGAACACCCATTGCAATATATTTAAATATTTTCTATTATTATTATTATCGTCGAATAATTTTTTAGGAGAGGTTCATTGTTAGCTTGGTTGAAAGATTATAATCATACGGAAGCAGCTTTAAATAAAGCCATAGAAGAATTTACATTGAGTTGTGCTGGATACTGCGTAGCAACATACGTTCTTGGAATTGCTGATAGGCATTCCGATAACATTATGGTTAAAAAGACTGGTCAATTATTTCACGTTGATTTTGGTCACATCCTTGGACACTTTAAAGAGAAATTTGGATTTAGACGCGAACGTGTACCGTTCGTATTAACAAACGACTTTGTTCATGTTATTAATAAAGGACAAACTAAAAAAGGCCAAGCTGTTGAATTTCAACGATTTCAAAGTCATTGCGAACAAGCTTTTTTAATTTTGAGACAACACGGTGGTTTAATTCTATCTTTATTTGCGATGATGATATCTACTGGACTTCCTGAACTTTCATCAGAAAAAGATCTCAATTATTTAAGGGACACTTTGGTATTTTATTTATATACTTTTATACTTTTTTAAGGAAAAGAAAATATTGAAATGTTTGTTTGACTAATTATTAATCTTTGTTTTTAAAATTGCAGGTATTAGAAATGTCTGAAATTGAAGCTCAAAAACATTTTAGAAGTAAATTCGACGAAGCGCTTTGCAATTCATGGAAAACTTCGCTTAATTGGGCTTCCCATAATATGGCTAAAAATAATAAAACGATATGAAGGATTACATTAGAAAAGGAACGATATTATTTCAATGTGTTTGATGATAGTTAGAAAACGCCAAGTTAAACAAAAAAAAAAACTACGGATGATCATCGCAGGAACCACCATGGCATGGCAGTGTAAAAAGGACAAAGACAAAAACAAAAAATCAGTGAAAGTATGCCAGTTTTGAAACTAAAAGTAACGATTATCCATCGTCAAGGTCAATGTAAGAAGTTGTGAATGAGACAGTATTTACTACTACTACTACACGTATGTGACATGTATAATGTTTTCAAATTGAAGCTGTAAACAACAATGTGAATTCGTCGCAGTCTCCTCCTCTATGGGAATGAAGAAAAAAAAAAAAAACAATGCAATTTAAGACGAACGAACGGTTTTTATTACGCTCTCAGTCGTCGTCGTCGTCGTCGTCGTCGTCGTCGTCGTCGTCTCAATGAACCGCGATAACCCATTTAAAAAGAAAACTAAACAAAACAAAACAAAAACAAAAAAATACAAAAAAGAAAGGAAAAGAAAAGACAAAAAAAAATATATCTAAATAGTAAGAAATAATACACATACACACACACACAACACACACACACACACTGTGGCATATATTTTCAGAGGCTGATGTATGATACATATCATTTCTTAAACATAAACAGCCTAATATTCATAAGTTTAACAAATAAAATTATCTTTCATTTTTCAACAAATATATTGCTTTGAATTTTGTATTAAAAGAAGAAAATTAATTTCATTGAAAAAAAAAAAAAAAAACAACAAATCACACTACACTTAACACGCAGGCGCCTTTTACAATGGTGGTTAATAAATGCATAGAAATTTGACTAGATGATTATTATTGTTTAAAAAAAAAACAAAAAAAAAATCCAATTCTATATAAAGGCAAAATAAGTACATTCTGAAGTATATAAAAAAAAAAAAAAAAAATAAAAAAGTAAAAAAGAAAAACCTTAACCAGTTAAGTGTGGCGATGATCTGTGCGCAGAGTGCGCGCTCTGGTGTGTGTCGCGATAATCAAGCGATGACGGATATAGTCGTCAAACACTGAGTAAGTGCCGCTGTTAAAATTATTGGATAGTCAAAAAGACGACTTATTTATTTTAGAAAATGAACAGTTGTTTTGTTTGTTAGTAATGTACACAGTTTCTTAATATGAACATATATTTATACATAATAAAAGGAAAAATTAGAGAAAAAAAAAAATGATCGAATATTTATAAAAGTTAACAATTTATTCTTGACTGTTTTTTGTTTTTTGTTTTTTCACCTCTAAACATTTGAAACATATTCAAATTAACGAATATAATTTAATTTTCGCCAAAATAACAATTTAAACGACAAATTGTAACAAACTTTTTACGCATGACGAATAATAGACATAGTCATAATAGAAAATGTTGTCACATCTTCTCCTCATGACGGATATAGTCGTCAAATACGCTTAACTGGTTAAGAACGATAAAATAGAACGAAATAAAAGAAGAATAAAAATAAAGCTATTGTATTTTTATTACTTAGTAGTTGAACAGTAGTACAGAAATTAATAATAATAATAATAATAATATTAATAATAAATAATAATAATAATAATAATAACGATAATATTTTATCTTATTATTTATAAAAAAAAAAAAACAGATCATTTTCTGAGAATTATTTCTTAATATAAATTGTACTATGCAATAGTCAGTGATAGTGTGATAATTCAAAGCAATATTTATTATTCATAACAAAAATTATGTTTTAAAATATAAATTAAATTTATAAGCGGATATACCACCACCACCACCACCACCACAATCAACATCATCATCATCATCACCAATTATCATCATCATCATCATCATCATCAATCACCAGCAGGATTATTTCTGCCGCTCTAGGTCGACATGGCGACCATTTTAGGTGCCAAAAAGAAAAAGAAAAAGAATTTTATACTTCTTTTTGTTTTTTTGTTTGTATTTTTTTTTTTTTTTTTTAATGCAGGCGTGCATAAGGAACAAGTCTAATTTTTATTTTTGTTTTGCGTTATCAAAATGTAAGTTATTCATATATTTTTATTTTGTTTCCCCCTCATCCAGCCTTAAAATAAGTTCGTGATAAATAATTGTTATTATCATTGTTGTTAAACATACACTTGACTTTTTTTTTTTTTTGGAAGATTATTGCAAATGTGTCAGCAATTTCCTTTCTTTTTTTTATTTTATTTTATTTTATTTTTTTTTTTTTTGTATAAATCGAATAGTCTAATCGAATGTATTTATTTCTTTATACAGGGATGCATTAAATTAAGCTTAAGCAGAAACATATTATTTAAGAGACACACGTTATTATTATTAATAATGTATAATAATTAAGCAATGATTTATCTAATGCTTTTTCCTACCAGCGAATTTTGAGAATTCTAACGATGGCCCTTTTCAAAGAAAACAAAACAAAACAAAACTAAACTAAAGTAAACAAACAAAATATGTGGACTGAACATTAATTATGTTTTTTTGTATCAAACGATTTAGAATCTCCCGATCGAACGTTTGTTTAACGATTACTGTCATCTCGTAATCGTTGGGAATATCTCACAAATCCGTAGAGATATTCATGACAATCATAATTAAATACATTTGTTGTTGCCATTACGAACAATGCGAACTACAATTGCAATTGCAATTAAAACTGAAAGAAGAGAAGAAGAAGAGAAGAAGAAGAAGAAGAAGAAGAAGAAGTGGTGAAAGAAAGTAAAGAAAAAGTTGGGAGTTAACCAAATGAAGAAAAAACAAAAAATTATGTTGATGAATGAGAAGAAGAAGAAAAAAAATGAAAAATAATTAAAAAAAAAAAACACGTTTTTTGTTTTTATATTTAAAAGCCGTTGATGTTTAAAAAAAAAAAAGAAAAACAAACAAAAAAAAAAATCGGTTGTTTGAAAAATAATGTAAATGATAAATAAAAAATATTGATCGAACGTCGACAAAAATTGCGATGTATGATCGGATGCTATTGGAATATAGAAAATTGTTTATTTTTTATTATTATTATTATTATTATTATTATTAATAATTTATTATATTTATATTAGAATATATAAGTTTATGAATGAATTATTTTCTTAAATACGTAAGAAAATTGTGTTATACAATTTAGTTTCCAAATTTGATCTATGTGATTTGATTTATATTCATAGTAGTAATATTAGTAGTAGAGTAGTAGTAGTATTAGTAGTAGTATTAGTAGTAGTATTAGTAGTAGTAGTAGTAGTGGTAGTGGTAGTGGTAAATATTTTTGCGCGTTCGTAACTATCTTATATAATATTAACAAGGACACACAACAGTTGCGTTGCAGTATACTTCTACTTATACTTATTAAACACATCAGGCTCATATTCGTATTCGCTTTTTTTTTTTTTTTTTTTAAATAAGTGATATGTACGTGTGCGCGTGAACACAGTGTGTCGTCGTAGTGAGGGGGATTGAGAGGGTATTTTACTCCTTCCTTTCTTCCTTCTTTGCTTGTTCTAAAGAGGGACACCTACCTACCTAGGTTTTCCATCTTCTTCAGTAACACTCGAGAGCTGATGTGACAGCTACGCGTTTCTCTTTCATAAAATTGTTCTAAATATTGCAAAGAATAATTAATGATCTTTAAGATCATTATTTTAAGTTTTATATATATTACTTGTTTAAACAAACGCGTGTATTTATTATTTTTTATATAAGGAAAGATTTATTATCAATGCGATGTTCGATGATAAGAAAAATTCGTATTACTTTTAAAATTGAATAATAAATCAATCACATGAACAAATTATACGGTGATATATATATATATATATATATATTTTTTTTTGAATTACGAACAATCGTAGATAATGTCGTTTATTAATATCGTTTTTTGATTATTTAGTTTAGTTAGTGTGACTTTTGTTGTTAATATTTAAGTCAAAATAGATTTTACCTAAGTTTGTTGATAATTTCCTCCTGGTACAGTATGACAGCATCTGAAGAAACTGAACCATTGATATCAACATCGAAGGCTTCTACTTCTAATAGCAATAAACAACAACAACAACAACAACAAAGAGTCTCCTATAATTCAGTTTTGTTTGTAAGTATAATTTAAACAAAAAAAAAATACATCCTTGTTAATTGATAAAAAAAAAAAGAAAAAAAAAAAAAAAAGAAAGATATGAAAATCAAATAAAGAAAGAAGAAAAGAAATATTGTAATAAAATTATATTTCATTTTACAGTTAAATTAAATCATTTACCATCGATCGAAGAAACAATGTATCCTAACGTATGATATATACATATATATATATATTTTTTTTTTATTTTAGAAGAAGGATTATAACTGTAAAAGCATATCGTTTTTCTAATTCTATATTAACGCTTATAACGTCTGGGGTTTTTGTTTTCTTCCGTTGTTTGCTATACGTGAAGATATTACTTACTGTATTTACATTTTCAATGTATCATTTGACGCATTATTATCTTTTACTCAGAGACATTAATTAGAATTATATTATCTTTTCATGTAGTAGTTCAAATCTTTGTAGAGAAACGTGTATTATATTTTCAAGATAAACTAGTTAATTCAATTTCACAATGTAATACCATACATACGGTAACTACTACTGTATACGTAAGGTTTCTCTACTTTTATTGCTTACCATCGATCACATACCACATATCACAACCCTAAATACCTTTTTACCATTATTCCTATTTTTGTTTTGCTTTTGTTTGTTGCAAATATAACGCAATTGTATAAAATATTTATTAAACAAAAATATTTGCTTTATTAATGATTAACATTTTACAAATTTTTTTAATGAACGAATTATTATCGTTCTTTTGAGTTCTACGAAATCATTAATAATTGTCAAAATTATTTTGATGATGATAATAATAAAATTATTGAACAAATCGTTTTGATTTCGAATGGGGGATTAATCTTACATGTTGACCTCCTCCTGTACATATTATTTTTACTCAATTAATTTGGTTGTTTTTTTATTTTTTAATTTTTTTATCTCGTATTATTTCAAATAAAACTTTAATTAAACAAATATGTGTAATAAAACACTTTTACATGTGATTTGATAATCTTTGTGTTAACCCTTTCATAGATACGAATTTAATCATACAACGTTGTTATCCTTTTATGTGTTAATAATGAAAGAGAGAGAGAGAGAGAGGGGTCATTTTTTATCATTAAACTAACACCATTTTTTTTCTCTTTATCATATTCCCTTTGTAATTTATAATTATTATCATCACGTAGATAAAATTGATGAATAATTTATCTTTGATACAGCCTCCTGTATATATTTCATATATATATATATTAAAAAAAGTTAACAAAAGAATTATGCAACTCTACTTATGTTTTAGAAAAGAATTTGATTATGTTTAATCATTTGAAAGATTGGAATTTTTATTCAAGACGCCTTTATACGCTCTGCCATAAGTTTTCACGTAACAAACTAGTTTAATTACATAAATGGGAGTTATGTGTATATATTAACATATTAGCAATCTATTGCAATATCAATGACAAGATTTTTATTATATATTCATATAATTTCTTTTTTTTTATTTTTATTTCTTTTTTATTATTAAAAATAATATTCATAAACATATACAATTGTTTATCGTTAAATTAACATTGATCGATTATATAGATTTTTTGGTTTTGTTTTGTTTTGTTTTCAAATGTTTCATGTATTGTAGCATGATCTTTATTTCTATGCATATAATACCTTTTCTCGTATTACTGTATCTGTATACATGTAATATACAATCGAACAATTTATGGAATTGATTAACGAATCAAGAATAAATACGTTTTTTCAACGTATTAAATATATTCTTTAATAATTGTTTGAATTATATTTAAAGAAAATTAACACATTTGTACGTTTAATATAATTACAAATTATGTTGTTAACAAATTGTACTATTGTTCATATGTGTATATATATATATATTTTTTTTTGTATAGGATAACAATGAACAACTTACACCTGAAAATGAATGTCAAGATACGATTATACGCATGGAACCTATTTTTCATTCATCATTAAAAATATCACAATTATATAATACTCCTAATGATAAAATTACATACACGTGGAGTGATGTTAATGTTTACGTTACTACAAAAAAGGATAAAATATGGGACAGTGCACTTTTTAAAAGTAAAAAGCCTGTTGAACAAAAACACATACTGAAAGATGGTACGAATTGAATATTTAATTATACATTCATTTATTGTTTAATAATTATGTATTAATTTATAGTATCTGGAGTGGCATATCCTGGTGAATTGTTAGTAATCATGGGATCATCGGGTGCAGGAAAAACAACCTTGTTAAATGCATTAACATTTCGATCCGGTCCAGGTGTCACAGTTTCAGGATTGATGGCAGCCAATGGTAAAAAAGTATCATCTCAAATTTTAACATCAAGGACAGCTTATGTACAACAGGATGATCTTTTTATTGGTACATTGACTGTTAAAGAACATTTGTTATTTCAAGCGATGGTTCGTATGGATAAACATATATCCTTTGAACAAAGGAAAAAACGCGTGAATGAAGTTATTAATGAGGTAATTAATCAAAGTAATAAAATGTACGTTTGATAATCAAATGTATTCAATCGTTAGATCGTTATCTACTTTACTTAATGAAATTATTTTCTATTGCCACTGTAGCTTGCTTTAACCAAGTGTAGGAATACGATCATTGGTGTACCAGGTCGTATAAAAGGATTATCAGGTGGTGAAATGAAAAGATTATCTTTTGCATCGGAAGTTCTCACTGATCCACCTTTGATGTTTTGCGACGAACCAACTTCTGGGCTGGATTCTTTTATGGCACATCAAGTTATATCTGTTTTAAAAGCCTTGACGGGTAAATATTATTCGATTGTATCGTCATTTGATAAATAGAACAATTGATGTTTATTATAATTATTTGTTTTTAGCACGTGGAAAAACAATTATTACAACGTTACATCAACCATCCTCAGAATTGTTTACTTTATTTGATAGAATTCTTTTAATGGCTGAAGGAAGAGTCGCTTTCATGGGTACAACTACGCAAGTTTGTGACTTTTTCAAAACGTATGTTCAATTGTTTATCAAATTGATCAACATTGGAATGTCTACAATGAATTATATTACAGATTGGGAGCTGCCTGTCCTAGCAATTACAATCCAGCTGATTATTTCATTCAAGTACTTGCTGTAGTACCCGGTAGAGAAGATTCATGCAAACATTCTATTAATACAGTTTGCGATACGTTTCAAAAAAGCGAATATGGAATGAAAATAGCTTTGGAAGCTGAAACGGTTAATGGGGAATTTGAACATTCCTTGAAAGAACAATTATATTCGAATAATACTAAATCACCTTACAAAGCTTCCTGGTGTGAACAATTTCGTGCTGTATTGTGGAGATCTTGGATATCAGTGATCAAAGAACCAATTCTCATTAAAGTTCGCCTTTTGCAAACAATTGTACGGTTATTTTTCAATATGAATGATAATAGCAATCATAGGAATTAAAAAAGAAATTAAATTTGTTTGTTTTATGTTTAGTTAGTTTCTTTGTTAATCGGCGTCATTTATTTTCATCAACGATTGGATCAAGATGGTGTTATGAATATTAATGGTGCACTTTTTATATTTCTGACCAACATGACTTTCCAAAATGTTTTTGCTGTGATTAGCGTAAGATTTTTCATTTTTATATTTGTCAATTGAAAAATTACTTTCTATTGGTTATATATATATATATATATATATATTTTTTAATATATCGATAACCTCTACATTGATAGCATAAGATATATCGAATAACGGTGTATATCAAATATCAAAGAGAAAATTGCATGAGCGACCGTGAACGAAACTTTGTTGCAATGATAAAAGAGCTAATATTTTTTTAATCAATCACGAATCAAGTTCCAATGTTTTTTTCTTCTTCTTTATTTGTTAATCAATACTCTTTTATTCTATTTCGTAATAATAATGATTTTTTTGTTTTTTTAATTTTAGGTATTTTGTGCGGAACTGCCGATATTTTTAAGAGAACATCGGAATGGGATGTACCGCACTGACGTTTATTTCATTTGCAAAACATTAGCAGAAACACCAATTTTCATAGCAGTTCCTTTGATATTTACCATAATCGTTTATCCGATGATTGGTTTATATCCCGCTGTGGATCATTTTTTTATAACTGTAGCAATCGTAACTCTCGTAGCAAACGTTTCTACTTCATTCGGTAAGTGAATGAACGTTTCAATAATTTAAATAAGATGGTTGTATTTCTATTGCAACCTTATTCGTGGCTAATTCAATACGTTAAGAAATAAAAGAAAAATATTGAAACGTAAGTAGAGTAACTACGTACCATGTGTTTCAATCATTTTCATAGTCATAATATATATTTTAAATCCTAGTGATTAACCATGTCAGAGGTTTGAGAAATATGATCCTTGAAAACACATATTATTTTTTTAAGTATTAATCATATACAATGTTATTATACGTGTCGTGTATTATTTTATGCACACTATCATATCTTCTTCTTCTTCTTATCTTAAAATATATATAAATGACGTGTCACTTTGTTTGTCCGCAATGGACTCCTAAACTACTGAACCGATTTTAATCAAATTTTGCACACTGTGTGCAGTTTTATCCAACTTGAAAGATAGAATGATAGTTTATATCTCAATTTATAATATATAAGGTAATTCGTTGATTTAAAGACGTGTGTATTGGACTGATTGTGAGCCACAGCAACGAGTGGCGAGGCACCCCTAGTATTTTTTTTTTTTATATATTTTTAATATAAATAATAATGAAAATTTTGTTAATAAATATTTTCAGGTTATTTGATTTCGTGTATTAGTACCAATGTTTCTATGGCGTTATCCATAGGACCTCCGGTGATAATACCTTTCCTATTGTTTGGTGGATTTTTCTTAAATGCTGGGTAAATAATTGAAATAAATAAAAACATTAAATGAAATATAAATAATTCATAAAATGTAATATATCAATTGGAATTATTGCATTTTAATAATTCGTCTTGTTTTTCTTTTATTTTTTTTTTTTTTTTTTTTTTAAATAAAAGATCGTAGGATGAATAAATGTTAAGATTTTTTTTTCAGTATTCATATTTATGTATTTTTTCGTTAGATCTGTGCCATCATATTTTGAGTGGTTCTCGTATTTGTCATGGTTTCGATATGGAAACGAGGCACTTCTTATTAATCAATGGGCAGATGTAGATACAATTGAATGTACCAGGAGTAATTCAACCTGTCCAAAGAGTGGACGTATGGTTCTTCAGATTTTCAATTTCAAACCGGTATTAATCAATTATTTTATCAACAATATACCGTAATCGGTTTTTAATCAAATTGTTGACCCAATTAACTCCAATTTAATCCCAGATTTAAATGAACACAATATTTATTTATATATATATATATATATAATTATATATTAAAATTGTAATAATTAAAAACCGATCATGGTAAGTTTAACTTGAAGTATTGTATTTAAAAATTTGAAAGATTGTTAATGAATAATTGTATTTTTAGGACAACTTTTGGATGGATATCATTTCTCTATTCTGTCTTATCATAGCGTTTCGTTTTCTAGCATTTATCGCATTATTATCGAAGACAAGACGTCCTAGATATAAATAATAATAATAATAAGAATAATTTTTTGTATCACTGCCTCAATCTACCAATGGACTAATTAAATCATACTCTTTATATTATATTTTAGACGTTTTAAATATAAATAAAAAAAAAACAAAAAAAAAAAAAGAAACAACAAGAAAAAAACCCTTTAGATACTTTCTTCGATATTATCTTTATATACATACTTTATGTAATAAAAAAGAAAGTATATAATATTTTTATATATAAAAATAAATAAACAATGGCGGAATTTGGTATTTGCAGCAATGAACTTTATCGAGTTCCTAATGATAATTAATAATTAATAATTAATAATAATTAATAATACAAGTGATATTAATTGAATTAGAAATATTGACAAATATATTAGAAATGTTAGTTAATTAAATGTTTTTTTCATACTTGTCAAAATAATCATTTTTTATTGATTCCGACATATAAAACACCACAAGAGATATGAGCGTGCGTGCGTGTGTGCGTGATGCATTGATCTATGTGTTATTAAAAATAAAAAAGGTACACACGATCCGCAACAATCCACCGTCATTTCCCGTACAGACGTTCAACTATCCTCTGATATGTCACAGTATCGTTGCAAACCGGTTCAAATATACACCGTGTGACCACAATAAAAAAAAAAAAAAAGCACCCAATAAAAAAAGGGAAGAAGTTCTATTTTTTTTATTTTTTTTTTTAAAGACAGTCGTACTTAAATTCATCTTAAATGAAATTAATGTTATTCGTAATGATTGCTATTTTTTCGTTGATTATTTTAATATCAATTGCGAATGATCATTTTTTTGTTGTGTGTGGTATTATTTGAATATCTTGAAAAAATGTTGAAATTATGAAATGAAATAAATGTATGATTATTATCATTAATGAGATAAACGATGAAAAAGAATATGATTGGTAATTGAAATAAGTTATTAAATTACAATATATAATCTATCGCAAAATACTTATACACTTACGTGGCATATAGTAAGTGTAAGGTTTCGGTTTTCAATTACCATAATCTGAGTCTCAGACTTCTTACACCTTACGAAGGAATATACAGTTGTTTCTTTTCTTATTCATGTTTTTTTTTTAATCTTAATCAATCCAAGTGAAAGTCTATTGTTTCTTCTATGTTCTTACATATTTGTATTTATGAGTCTAAAAAAAAAAAAACGGGAGAAAAGAAATGGAGTGAAAGAAATGCAAAGAAAATTTAAGTTCAAAAGGAGAAGAACAAGAAGAAGAAGAAGAAGAAGAAATGAAAAAAGAAAAGAAAAAAAAAATGTTTTAAATTTTATGATGAAATTTTTACAATTATTCTCACGTTATATGCAAATCCAATTAATGAGATATAAAATGAAAGAAAGAAAAAAAAACAATAAAATAAAAAAGATGATAAAGTAATAAAAAGAATACAATACACATTTGGTTTTATCAAAGTCGTCTCAAATTTATAAGACTATCCGCAAATATGATCGAGGGGTTAGCGAAGCATTTCAAGACTATGGTGTAGTCAGTTCAGTACTCCACACTGTGCTGACAAGTTACCATCCTCTCTGATAGCTCTTGGATTTTTCTAAGGTTTCAAAAGAAAGAAAGAAAGATAGAAAGAAAAAAAAAGAAAGAGAAAGTTCAAAGTACATATTACAAGATAATTTCAACAAAACAACAATGTTTTAACACGAATTGTAATAATAATAATAATAATAATAATAATAATTTGTAAATTTGTGCGCGTTTTTGTGCATGTGAGATGAGATAATTTTGTTACATGACAATGTTGTTTTAAATGTTTGAATTTAATTATCATCACATTAATTATTACTGATACAAAATTAATATTGTACAGATAAAAGATTTAACAATTATTTGAAAATAATTAAAAAAAAAAAGTTTAATAAAATATTGTTAAGAGAATTAAAATCAATTAATATTTGTGATAATCATGAATGATCAATTGATGGAAAAATCAACAAATAATGAAGATTCATCTAGGGCTATACTTTTTTGGCGTGAACTTTCCGTTTATGCAATGGATCGTAATAAAAAAAGTATAAGTAAACAATTGATAAATAATGGTAAACAAATAAATATATATATAATGAATTTTTTTTTTGAAAAAATATATTCTGTGTTAACTATTATTGTTGTCACATTGAAATATTGTTTTTAGTACGAGGGGTGATTAAGCCTGGAAATTTAACAGCGATATTAGGAAGCAGGTAAAATATTTCATTTTATTTACCTGTTATCTTTTCAAATAATCAGATATTAATAATACTTTTTTTAATTTTATTTAGCGGATCCGGTAAAACGTCGTTAATGACGGCATTGGCACTTCGTACGGGACGTGAGTATAATAAAAATTTGTATGGAAATAATTGGGAATATTTTTTTTTTTTTTTTTTTAAAAGATATTTTAAAAGATCCAAGCGTAACAGAGATGATTTTTATTTTTTCCAGCTGGTATCGTGGTACACGGTGATATTCGTGTGAACGGTGTTCNACTTTTTTTAATTTTATTTAGCGGATCCGGTAAAACGTCGTTAATGACGGCATTGGCACTTCGTACGGGACGTGAGTATAATAAAAATTTGTATGCCTTTTTTTCTCTTCTCTTTTTTTTTAAAGATATTTTAAAAGATCCAAGCGTAACAGAGATGATTTTTATTTTTTCCAGCTGGTATCGTGGTACACGGTGATATTCGTGTGAACGGTGTTCCAGTTGGATCATCTTATATGAAACACCACAGTGGTTTTATGCATCAGGAAGATATATTTATTGGAACTATGACCGTTTTGGAACATCTTTGGTTTATGGTTCATATTTATATAATATTTATTTCAAGAATTAAATTCATATATTTATCAAATTCAAAAAAATAGAAGAACATGGACGAATTCGTAGATATTTTTACAAATACTTTTTTTTTCTTTTTTTTTAGGCTCGAATGAAATTGGACAGAAGAACACGAAATCGTGATATTCGTGGAAAAATAGATAATTTATTACGCGACGTTGGTTTGACCTGTAAAAGTAATATTCGCATTGGTGACAAGGATGATAAAAAGATTTTATCTGGTGGAGAAAAGAAGAGGCTCGCATTTGCAACGGAAGTACGGTATATTTTTTTTCTTTATACTCTTTTACATTTACTTTATAAAATATTTTAGTTATTTAATTTTCAAAATTTGTATACCGATTGTAAGTTAATTCATTTTGTATTTTTTTTTAGTTACTCACCGATCCAAAGATATTATTTTTGGATGAACCAACAACGGGTCAAGATGCTAATTCAGCCAGCGTTTTGATATCAGAATTAAGGAAATTTGCAGCAAAAGGTCGGACAGTTTTATGTACGATACATCAACCAAGTTCAGCAATTTTTGATTGTTTTCATCGAATTATACTGGTTGCTGATGGAAGAATTGCATTTGCTGGTACCAGTGAACAAGCTATTCGTTTTTTTGCAAGGTATTCTTTTTATATATAAATTAATTAAATTATTAATATTTGATTGATTATGTTTGGTTGTTTCTAGTCAGGGTTACGAGTGTCCTGAAGCTTACAATCCTGCTGATTTTCTTGTTGCAACACTTGCAATAGCTCCTGGAGATGAGGACAATAGCAAAAGAACAGCACAAAGAATTTGTGATGCTTTTCTAACAAGTGAGGCATGTGAGGAAATAGATGTTAACATACAATTGGAATTGCATATAGCTAAAACCTATGATGTGAGAAACTTTACATAATATTATTCTTTTATTATAATTTTCAATTGCAACATCTCATTCCTTGTATTTTTTTTGTAGTGGAGAAATGATGTTACACGCCCAAACGATTTGTAAGTAATTATTCTCATTGATAAATTTATTATTCACGTATGTGATAAAATATTAAAATTTGATTTAAAGCAAACAATTGCAATGTTGGTTGAAATTATTTTGGATGGTCCATCGTGGTTTCATGCAAGTTATTAGAGATCCTTCATTACAGCTGATTAGAATGTTACAGAAATTGGTAAATCAATCAATTATTTTGATATCGATAATAAATATTAAATTAATTTGCATATTATTGTTTGATATTTAGTGTGTTGCAACGATGGCTGGACTTTGTTTTGTGGGTGCAGTAAATCTGGATCAACTTGGAATACAAGCGACACAGGGTGTTATTTTTATAATAGTTTCTGAAAATGCATTTTTTCCAATGTACTCAACCCTATCTTTGATACCACAAGAATTACCATTGTTTCTTAGAGAATATCGTGCTGGAATGTATTCTGTTTTTCTTTATTACTTAGCTCGAATATTATCTTTGGTAAATTAAATTCTTTATATAATTGATTAGTAAATTTATTTATATATATGTGTGTGTTGTATGAAAGATAAATATTCGATTTAGATTCCTGGACTAATACTGGAACCGATATTATTTATAACAATAGTTTACTGGCTTTCTGGATTGCGTGCAACAACGGATGCTGTGATTTTATCTATAATGGTTATTATGTTCACAATGAATGTATCAACTGCTTGTGGTATGTTATTATATTAATGTAACATATATATATATATATATATATATATATTTCATGTAACCTGACAATGTAAAGAAATACATTGTTTAGGGTGTTTCTTTTCTGCGGCATTTGATTCTGTACCATTAGCTATGGCATATTTGGTGCCATTTGATTACATTCTCATGATCAGTATGGGTCCTTTTATTAAATTAAGGTAATAACAGTTTCTACAAGATAGATATTAATTCAATTGAATATAATCTTTATAATAATTAATATTTTAATGAAATATTCGATTAAAGTACATTGCCAATTTATCTACGTTGGGTAAGATACATTTCATGGCTTTTGCATTCAACGGAGGCTCTTTCTATTATTCAATGGAGAGGCGTACATAACATATGTAAGATATAGACCTATACATATTTATATAAATCATTAATATAATCAAAAATTATTAAACATCATTTATTTTTAGCTTGCGAAATTGTTCATGAAGATTTGCCTTGCATGACCGAAGGATCAGAAGTATTAGAATATTATGATTTTGATGAAAACAATTTTTGGATGAATATAATATCAATGACTATTATTTATATAGTATTTCATATCTTTGGTTATGCATTCCTTCTAAGAAGATGCAGATCGAATTGATTTAATTACGTGTACATAAACATATCACTGCCAATATTGTAAAGATATTAAATATCAAAGCGAAAGGTAATCTATATTTATAATGTTTATAATAACAATTAAAAATAGTGGCATAACCCTAATCTGCACAAATCGTTTTATACGGCTAATAAAATAAAAACCGAGATTAATAATACAAAGAATGAATAAATACCTCGAATAAAAAGAAAAATCGTCTTTCCTTAGTCTCGATTAATCACAACACAAATAAAAAAAAAAAAAAAAAGAAATATTAATAATAAAATAAAACAGAAATATACAAAATTTCTCAATCACTTCCGAGTCGCGTCAATCGATGTATCATTTGAATAACGCGCGCTTTTTGAATGTTAGTTCGCGCGACTACCGCTACGCGGCGCTTTCGAGTTGCGCGATATCGAAGTACCTCTCTTAAACGTAATCAGTACCAGTCCGTATTCGGAGTCGAGCGTAACCGGATTGTTGTGTGTGAACGTTTTCTAGAGCAAAGGAGAAGCAAACGATAGTGCGTCCGCCATGTTCCGTGGTACTGTTATTGGAGATCGTCTTCGTAACGACAGTTTAATTATTACGATAATACGCGTATTGACGATTCCATCCTTTGCATTATAACCGTCCGCAAATTACGGATAAAAAAGTATCGTTTAAAACTAATCACACGCCGGGGCAACGTCCGCGTCATAACGCCGCGTGTATTTCTCCGTCCACATAATTAAGAAAAAGAAAACAAAAAAAAATTGAAGAAAAAAATTGAAACGAAAGAATTAAAGAGAGAGAGAGAGAGAGAGTGAGTGAGTGAGTGAGGAAGTGAGAAAGAAAGTGTGGTGGGGATACTTTCAAGAAGACAGAAAGAGAAATCGCATCGTCCGAGATTCGCGCGTGTCAGATCCGTTCAATGTTTTTCGAGTGAATCTTTCATTAATTTTTTTCTATCAATTATTTATTTTAATTATTCTCTCTCTCTCTCTCTCTCTCTCCCACACATACACACACACACGAGGCTATAATATTTGTTTAAACTATCTGACAATTGTGTGCAAAGATAATAAGAAAGATAATAATCTTTCTCTTGATTACTGTCACGATAAAGGAATAGCAGGGATGCGTCGAGATAGAACGAAGGTGTCTCGATACGAGAGAACTTTTTCTCGTGTTCAACGTTGGAAAAGGCAACGAATACCGGACTCTTCTGATCTTCGTTCCATTGGACGCCAATGAAAATTACTGAAGAAATAATTCTCATCTTACTTGTCGTCATCGTCGTCTATGGGAGCAGCAAGGTTGTAGGTGCTTTACTATCAACGAGATCAATTTGCTCAAGGTATGTACACTTTACATTTATTATTATGCATTTTATTTGTTTGTTTGTTTGTTTGATTGATGTGACAGTCATTTGTATATTCATAACATTTATTTCATTCGAATATGTATTAATAGTAAAATCGTACATGGGATGTTGAAATAAAATGAATAGTTACGTATTATTATTTATGGGGTTGATTTTAAACCATATACGTTTGTGTGATTTTAGATTTAAAAAAAAAAAAACCATTTGATTACAAGTGAATGTATAAATTTTGTTTTGTTTTAGTAGAAATCTTGTTTTTTTTTATCACAAAATTGTTTTGACACGCGCATTTCGAAGATTAATTCGATATACAAATATGGAGAGCATCGATTCTTCGGAGGCGTTGATGATGATGTTTTTTTGATTTATTTGTATTTGTTTATTTTTCTTCCTTCGTGTTCTTTATTTTATTTGTATTCATTTATATTTTTAATTTATTATTTGTATACATTATGTATGTATTTCTACATGTTTTTATTCATTTTTATAATTCTAACCTATAAATTTGATACATGTGTATTATTAATGTATTGTTTCGATATATTTTATTTATTTATTCATATTTATTATATATCAGATAGATAAATTAATTCATTAATAACCTGTTGCTTTAATAAATTCACTTTGTTTTATACAAATTAAATTAAATATCACTTGATATACATTATAATATATAATTCGCATACTGCTTTAATTTTCAATTTTGTAACGAGTATTTTAAAATAACAAAACTCTTTTTATATTCATATATGTTTCTGGCCTATAAATTAAATCAAAAAGGAGAATAAAAAAAGAAAAAAAAAGAAACCTACTACTAAAATAAAATATATATTTATATTATGTATCTGATCTGTAAATTTAACATCAAATCAATGCTTAAATATACAATGAATTAACAACCATCAAGAATTTATTAAATCAACATAAAATAACTGAATGTTTTTTTTAAAAGAAAATTCATGAAATCTCACTATATCAAAACATTATTATTATATATATATTTGAAATGTTAAATCTTTAGGATGAATTGTTTTGAACCCCGTAGTACAACCAACCAACCAACCAAACCCCGCCCCCCCTCCCCTTTCCCCGTTCGCAATAAATACAATCTATCTCTGTAGAATCTAAAATGGACTTTACATTCGTGTTAGAAAAAGATTTCACAAGTAGATAAAGACGTAGGTACTATGGAACGAACCATAGAAGTGTTAAACTAGCCTAACTTATCGTTTATTCCGATCTTGTTGTTTGTACAAACGAACGAACGAATGAACTCTTCTCTTCTCTGATCGTCGTCGTTGTCGTCGTCGTAGTCGTCCTCGTCGTGTTTCAAAAGGAATAGAACGAGTTAGTAAAAACCATCAAAAATAAATAATAAAAAAAAGATGTTGAAGGGTAAGAGGGAAAGAAACAGGTTCTACTTTTCAAGCACGTTTTAAAGAAAGATAGATAGATATCGTAAACGTCATCGACTCGCACTTTTCGACGAGCAATTCGTTCGGTTTATGTTGTTCGAAGAAGATATGGGCTCAAACCTGATAAGATTAGTTGGTAGGAGGAAGATTGAAGGTATATATATATATGGTATGTACACATGAAGAGGGGATGGATGAGGAAGGGTGAAGGGAATAATACTCTTCAACTAACACGTACAAATATTTGCACTTCTTCCAAATGTTCGGTTTTTTTCTTTTTTTTTTTTTTTTTTTTTGGTATATTTCAAAGATCCGCCATGTTTTTCTTATTTTGCTTTCTTTCTTTCTTTCTTTCTTTTTAAATAATTATTCACGATTAAATGCTAGGAGGATAGATTTGAAAATATTTATTTTCTTTTTTTTTTTTTATTATTATTATTAATATTAAACAAATTTAATAATGGATTGAGAACCACTGATCGATCTTGGGTAAAGTTTAAAATTGATGTATATCGTGCAAGGGTCAGAAAAGTATTCGTCGATGATGTTAAATAAATTGTATAATATTCTTTTTTATTTGGAAACGAATAAAATTATACATATATATAGGGTGTTTTTTTTAATTTAATTATAAGTCGATATTGTAGATAATATTGCAGTTACTTAAAAAACAAAAAAAAGAAAATAATAAAATAAAAGAAAGTTTAATGAGAAAATTGAGGACGAGGATTTTTATTATTATTTTTTTTTTTTTTTTTTTAAAGATGGACGACGTCGAGGGTCTTTGAAAATGATCGTAATTTATTTTAATGATCGAGAATACTTTTCGACGTATTACCTTATGCATAATTATTCGTTTTTATGTGTGTGTGTGTGTTTGTATATTCGTGAAAAATGTAATGGCTGTGTTTTTTTTCTTTTTCTTTTTTTTTTGTAAGTTTTGCGAACGTTGCATTTATTATCAATATTTTGATCGAACGATAAAACATTCGAGCAAACAAACATGGCGGTATCAAAATCCCGCGTCACCTACTACTCCTCCTCCTCCTCCTCCTCCTCGTTTTTTTATTACGTACGTCAAAAAAAAAAAAAAAAAAAACTTCTATATACAATTTTTGCGAAATATCTCGAGATACTAATAATGATTATTATTATTTTACTGAGAATGTCGAGTAATGTATTATCGAGGTAGAAATGAAATAAGTTAACTGAAAATAGCAGAGAGTGGTTTGCCGATTAAACGTTTCCTCTTTCGATAGGTGTATCTTTTCCTAATGGCGCCTTAACATTTCTTTTGTTATTTCATATTTAGTTTTATTATTATTATTATTATTATTATTATTATTATTATTATTATTATTATTATCTTACATTATATATATATATATTATCTTATTTAACTCGTATAATAATTATTATTTTATTTTTTTATTTAAATTATTTAGTTGATCAGTTGATTTCAAAAAGCCACCTATCGACAAAATTCGCAATTAATTATTCGCCAATCGAATAAAATATCATTTAATTATTATGCGAATAAATTTTTATAGAAATCGGTCATTTTTATCACACACACGATACGACAAATATATTTATAAAAAATATATCCGATAGTTTTTTTTTTTTTTTTTTTTTTAGCAAAATATTAGTTTAGATTATGTACTGTTGTTTGTTTGTTTTTTTTAGATACGTAAAGAATATCGTATTTCATTTGAGTTAGGTAGTAGTAGCAGTAGTCTCGTGACACGTCAGAACACGAGAGTCCTCGCGTCTGACAATAAAAGGGATACACCTTATTCGATATCTCGAACATCGCAAGGCATTTCGAGGTCGAGAAATGTCGCGATCGGTGCTTGCATTGCTGACACTCGAGGTCTTCATGGTCGGTCACTCTTTGCTGCTTGGTGTATGAATCGCGTGCACGCGAAACCTTCAGTTTATTCTTCTTCTTCTTCTTCTTTTTATGTTGTTATTTATTTTTATTTATCCTTCCTTTTTTTTACTTTCTAAATAAGCAACGTGGCTACCGGTCTTTTCAACATCCCCCGTCCCCGTCCCACTGCGTCTTGGGAATAAAAAGCCCACGAATACGCACTCTTGGGTTTCTCTTCACATTTTATTTTTATTTAATAGAAATGATGATTATTATTATTATTATTGTTTTTTTTATTTCAGTTTACATTGAAATATTATTACTATATCTTATTTTCATATTTACCGTTGTGTATTTCAATGTAAAAACTTTGACTATATGTGCATACAGTTTCGTGTAGTTAAAAGAAACTCAAAAAAAAAAAACTAAAAACTAAAAACAAGATTTGTGGTTTAGATCATTGGTTATAAAAACCATTTTATCTATGTATTAGGTATAGTGAAATAATAAACAGTCTACTAGGAATAGTAGTATATAATGTATACACACGTGGTGATAGGATATTAAATAAATACATAAAACGCAATGAGCGCACACCGACAATAAGAGGAACTTTTCGAAATTAGCGTGATCGATATCATTGGTTATAATGGCGATCGAGAAACTCTAAAGAAATCGCTTTTTTGGATTTGCCAAGTAGTGCTCGATTTCGTTGACTAATATACACGTACCCATAACCGCAAGGAGAAAGTGCATTCTGTATAAGCGAATAGATACGTGTTGTATATGAATTAGTATGTTAAAGTTATATGATCTCTCTTTACTTGCTTATAATAAAAAAAAAAACAAAAAAAATATATATATATACTAGAAATATAATGAAATAAAAATCTATAGAAATAACATAATGTGAAAACAAAACAATTATTTAATTTATTAATACTTTAATGGCCGCTCACGCAACATGTGTTTGATATTTGAAATGACTGTTATTTATTTATAACATTATATATATTTAAAATTATATATAAAAAAATTAAATTTGTTGTTTTTTGTTTTATGTTTGGTTCCTTTTTTTTCCGTAAATTTAATCAAGTTTGTTTTAAAATTAATTTTTTTCAAAAATATTATCTAGCCCTCTTGCGACGTTTGACTGAATTAAACGTGCGGCCATTAAAGTTTTAATATATATTAATAATAAATTAATATATATATATATATATATATAGAAATATTTTTTACATAGAAAATTATTTTATTTTATTATTATTTTTAATCAATTAATAAATTTAATTGAAATATAATCGCAACAAAAATTATTCTGCATAAATGCAAATTATTTTTGACACCGTATAATTATTTTTTGCAGACAGACTGTACTTATATTATTATTATTTATTTATTTATTTATTTATTTAATGGCCATTCTTTTTTCAAGATTTAAGAAATGTTCAAGTGAAATAATTTAATACAATTGTTAATAATTTTCTAGGAGAAGAAGAAGAAGAAGAAGAAGAAGAAGCAATGGCCGACGATCGGAAGAACGCACAAAGGCTTATCGGTCAGGTTCATGCGGTGAGTTCAAACGTTTTAATTAATCATTTTCTCATTGTCTATTTAATCGATTCTTCTTCTTTTCTTCTTTTTTTTTTTTTTTTTCATTAAAACATTGCGTTAAGTGTTCTATTTACAACACCGCATCGTTGTTACGATTGCACGAATGTAAACCACGAATTACAACGTATATAGGAAAACTTATTGGAAATTCTAACTAATACTACCAACTAGTACGAGTCTTCTTTTAATGCATGCATTATAGATAAAGTTTATCGTTGGAAGGTTCCACGTAATGGAACAAAAAAAAAAGTAAACTAAAGTAAAGTAAAGTAAAGTAAAGTAAGGAAACTTTTTTTAAAGAAACCACCTATCTATATATATATCTATATATAAAGAAATATATACTTCTTTTAGTAATATTTTTTTTATTGTATGTTTTTTAACACGTTGAACACCACGTGAATTATTAGAGAAATTCTCGTCAGGCCACAGGCGTTACTTTGTATTAGAAAATATTTGAACGTGTCAGTCATCGGTGACTGACGTGGCCTAAACTGAAAGTCTAGTGTCAGTCATTGGTGACTGACGTGGCGCTCGTAACGTCTTTTGTCTAGTGTCACGTCTCTGGTGTCAGTCACCGATGACTGACATGGCGTTCAACGCGTTAACATTAAACTGTGTAAAACGGGAACACATAAATAATTAATTTAAAATGTTAAATAAAAAATTCAATCGGGGAAAATAAATCGGTCGTTTGTTAATAAAAAAAAAAAAATTAATTAATAAATAATAAATAGTTAATTAAAAAAATTATGAAAATATTAAAAGAAATGAAATATTTTATTTACCAGACATCGAGAATTCGACGTTCGTGCTTACATTGAAACGACCTAACTGTAACAGTTTCGAGTGTGTTTACAGGTATCTCGTAGAAAAAAGTAAACATAAAACAGGTATATATTTATATAGCTGTTCCCTATTTAGGGAAGATCATAGTTCGATCATTTGAAATAATCTTGAAGAGAGATCTACTACTACTGTTACCGTGATGTTTTTTTTTATTTTTTTATTTTTTTTTTTTTTTTCACGCTACGAGTCGAAATATCTTCCACATTTTTTTTACAGTAATTTCCTTTTTTTTTTTTTTTTAATAATAATAAGATTAATTTTATTTTATATTTTTTGATATTGTAAAAGTTAAAATTTAAATAAATTCTTTGCACACGTGATTAATAATATTAAATTAAAAAAAATTTATATTTAATAATAATAATATTTAATAATTATTATTTATTTTTTTATTTTTATTTTATTAATTTATTATATATATATACAAGTTGTACCCCCACCACACGTTACAGTGGTTCATTTGAATCAAAATATGACGCTGTAGTATAAAAATTAGGTTATGTTCAAAAATAAAAATATATATATTATATTATTAAAATATTTTATAATTTATAATAATATTAATATTATAAAATATTATTAATATTTGCATTATAAATGAAACAAATTTATTGAAAAAAAAAATATATATATATATATATATAATACCAAAAATCAAGTTATTACTATTATTATTATTATCATCATCATTTGATTATCTGTATTGAATAGTAAAAAAATAAAAAGAACTATATGGTAACTTTTGTTAAAGACCGGTCACTTGACCGGTTAGGGTATAAATAGATATATACATATATATATATATACTAAACGTATAAACTGGTATACAATTTTAATATCAAGATAAAGTCTATATATATATATATATGTTGTTAGAGTATTTCCGATAGATCAATTACCAAGGCAAGAAATAATATTGTGTCATGTTAAAAGAAACGACAGAGAGAGAGAGAGAGAGAGAGAGAGAGTCCTCTTCTCTTTCTCGTTAGTTGTTCTTTTTCTTTTTATTTTTTTTCCCTTTTCTTTCTATCTTTTTCTCTCACCCCTGAACAACAAGCCCACCTTCTTCCGACCACCCTTTTTCTCTACTTGGAATATCTACCTACTCCTTCGCTCCCTTTGTTCGTTATACAAGCGACCCTCCCTTTTACGACGTGCTGGTGACTCATACTGTATCACCATTTCATACTTTGTACTTCGTACTGATTCACCCTCTAAAGAAATAAAATTATGTTCATCGCCATACTTTCTCCAATATACATATATGTATATATATCTTCCTGTATATATATTTTCACATATTTTATTATATATATATATATAAAATAGGATGGTTCAAATAAATTCTTATGAGAGAGAGAGAGAGAGAGATATATATATATATTTTCATCAAAAATGTATTTAAAAAGAACGAAAAGTAATGGCCGTTACTACGCATGTCAAATGTTACTACTAATGTCAAATTTGTCTATTAATATTTTAATGAAAAAATTGATTGATCATTTTTATCATTCATTACAATATTACAAATTTTCCATACCATATAGAAAAAAGATTATTAATTTGATTAATTAATTAATTTAATTATTGATTAATAATAAAATTTTGTTTGAACAATTTATTCGTTTGAATGGTGTGGTTAAAAACCGTCATTACTTTCCAGTCCATCTAATATTTCAATTCATTCATTTTCATTTGTACATTAACTAAATAGTTATGGTAAAATAATGTTAAATTATATTTGTTAAATTAATTATTATTTAATTTTATTTTATTTTTCGTTTTTTGTGAGAATTATTTTGTCATGTTAAAAAAAGGAAAATATTTGGAGGTTAAGTGTGTTTATTTAAATTACATTGATATAAGTGTTGCACTTTGAAAGATAAGCTTCTTTTCCGTACAATTTAATTATCTGTAATATCTTGTAACACTTTATTTGAACCACCCTGTATATATATATGTGTTGTATCTATATGTATGTATATATATATATTGACATAAGAGAAAAGCGAGATTTCTAAAGCCTTCGTACTTTGATCTTCCGCGTTACGTTCGAGGATCAATAACTACTCTGCTCTTTAATAATTCCAAGCTTTCCACCTATATTAACCCCTAAATGTGATCGATTATCTAACCATATGTGTGTGTATGTGTGTGTGTTTGATCTTTGTATTATATATATTATTTTAGTGGATTAGAAAAATATGATTGATTATTTATCAAACATTTATTAAATCAAATGCAAGTTTAATATATTTTTTTATATTTTTGTTTTTATATAGAAACAATAGCAAATCAGTACTTAAATTACACCCTATATAAATTTCAGTCAATTATTATAATATTATTAATTGTTTTAACAAATATTATTACTTGCAATTAATGTTTTTGTTTTTTTTGTTTTAATTTATTTATTTTTAATTTTGTTAGGAAGGATTACTAAAACCATCCACCACCCTAGTCAAAAGTTCAATTTTATTTTTTGTATTTATTTATTTATTTATTTATTTATTTATTTATTTATTACAAAGAGATTAATAAAACCACCACCACCACCCTAGTCAAAAGTTCAATTTAATTTATAACAAATATAAAAAAGTAATATGAACAACAATTTATTTTATTATTTTGTAGAAATTAATTAGGTTCAAATTGAAGGTTGTTTTTTATTTTTTTTTTTTTTTTTTATTTTGTTAGAAAGACAATTGAGGCAATAAGTTTGACAAATAAATAGGAGGAAAAAAAAATAGGGGTAGCAAAGTTGGTGGTGGCGTCTCCACTTGACGGGTGAACGACCCCTCTCTCCTCTCTACCCTTCTCTTCTTTCCTTTTCTCTTTTTCTTTCTCTTTTTCTTTCTCTTTTTCTCTCTTTTAACAGACAACCCCGACACACTTGAGTCGTCGTCTCCATTTCCATCTCTCTCTCTCTCTCTCTCTCTCTCTCTCTCTCCACATCTCCATTCCACTTTCTGCATCAGGAAGAGAAGACCCGACTCGAAATTTCTTACTTATTTTTACTTCCGACTGTAGTGAAGAGTATTCAGTAACAAGTAACGGAACTCGGAGTATTTTCTACATACTGGGTTGCCATAAAATTTATGCCCCTTTTCAATACGCTTTCTTTAACTTCATTTATTTCAACTTTCGATATAAAAAAAAAAAAATATCAAGAAATATTTTTTCTAAACATTTTCGTTTGTCGAAGTAATCAACTTAAATAAACCTTGATTTGATTTATTATTATCATTATTTCAAATTTAGATATTTAATACAATTATTAGATTATCTGATAATTAAATTAATAGTTGTGCCCCCTCCCCCCACCACCACACGTTACGGTTGCTCATTTGAGTCAAAATATGACGTTGTCGTATAAAAGTTAGGTTATGTTCAAATATTTACTAAACTCACCAAAATCTATGGCCATAACAATGGCGCTGGACTTATTTTCATCTTTTTCTTTTTTTTTGTAAATTAATTAATTRTTTTATAAATAAATTAACATCTTTCTTCTTTAATATATATAAATTATGTGTCACGTTGTTTGTCCGCAATGGACTCCTAAACTACTGAACAGATTTTAATCAAATTTTGTACACTTTGTGCAGTTTCATCCAACTTAAAAGATAGGATAGTTTATGTCATTCTAACAGATGGCGGTATAAGGTAATTCATTGACTTAAAGACGTCTGATTGTGAACCACAGCAACGCGTGGCGGGGCACCCCTAATTTATATATATATATATAGAAAATTAATAATTTTGTTTTTAAAATGGTGGTATGTATTGTTTAGATAACCTAAAATTGCTACATTTGGTTGTTGAACAAATTTGTGAATAATTTACGGTATATCAGAAATATATATACAGAAATGTTTTATTTCGGGTAACTCAATAGATATATATATATATATGTATAAAAGAACATGGTTAATAAAATTCGGTAACATTTGGATCGACCCCGTATAAAAATGTACAAGCCACGCCATGGGTGTCTAAAGTTGATTCAAGAGGGTAGGTTCGTTGGTTAAATAAGCGATTTAAATATAGTTCGCTTTATTTAAGTTACGATAGCGAAGCAATCAGGCAGTTTTTCTTCTCCTTTTTTT